AGAATACCCCAAACGGCCAAACAGAACTCAAACCCCGGAAAAATAACAAAACTGGAGAATGAGCCACCTCCCTCCCCTTGGTGAAGTCGGCTCTCCCCCATGGGGAGCCGGCTCTACCCCTTGTGGAGCCGGTTCTCCCCTTGTGAGAGCCGGCTCTCTCATCCCTAGAGCCGGCTTTCTCATTTGGAGAGCCGGCTCTCTCCCTTTGAGAGCCGTAAATCGATTCTGTTCATCTTCTTCGCCTCCGGCGATGTGCCGAACCCTCTGTACTATTTTAATAAGATTTCTAGGGTTCAATCTATGTCCCAAATTAATTATAAGAAGTTATCATACATCACCGACATGAATTTAAAATAAGTTTATAATCAATGAAAACAAATCAAGAACATCTATCAACCATAAAACAGTTTAATTCAATGCAGTTAAATTCAATTCAAGCATGCTTAAAAGATCAATTTTTTAACGTCAATTAAACCCTGGAGACTACCTAGGCATGCACAGAACACAGGTCTAAGGGAATGAGTTAGAATAGGAACTTGCCTTCGGTTTCAGTTTTGAAACCTTAAACCGTCTTCTCTAATAATTCCGACGACCTTAATTACTTTCACCGACCACTGTTGCTCCTGGTTCAACCCACGAGCAAGCTTCAATTACCCCTCTTTGGTTCAGCCCTTGTCCCTAGCCAAACCCTAACTTTCCTCTCTCTGTTTTTCTCTCAAAACTCTCTCTGTGTTCGTGAAACTGAATAGGTTTTCTTAACCCTAGGCAGACGTATACTGTTATATTTATAGGCTTCAATCATAAACCTAATTCTAATTATATTACGAACCAAAAAACTCAAATAGTTGGCCACCACGAGACAACATAAAAGAATACAAAACCCTGAACTATAATACATATATTATGAAAATAATACTAATTCAATTTAAACCTTAAAATAATTCCACATAAGTATATAATTAAATTAAAACAATTAAACAAATAAACAACCAATTAAACAAATAGGCAAATAATTCAATTAAGTAATTAAACAACTAAACAAATAAACAAATAACTCAATTAATCAAATAAAAATGCAATAAAACCCTTAATTAAAATACCGAGACTATCCTTTAAAAATTAGGGGTATTACAACATGGTCCACCTCTCCTACACTTGAGTTATGGCATTCTCATTTGGGTTATACGTCATTATCTCGTGTCAAAACCCTTGCATTTGCGGGTTTGTTAGGTCAGGTTAAACTTGAGTCTCTTGATTATATTTCATGTCAGTTGGGTAAACAACCTGCCTTACCATTTAATAAAAGCGAGTCTTTTGCTTCTGCTCTATTTGATCTTTATTTATTTTGATGTTTGGGGACTTTCGCCTTTATCTAATATGGGAGGATCACGATATTTTGTTATTTTTGTTGATGATTTTTCACGATTCACATGAATTTTTTTAATGAAAAATCGTTCTGAATTACTTAAAATATTTCATGATTTTACTCAAATGATTGCAACTCAGTTTTCCAAACCAATCAAAATGTTTCGGTCCGATAATGCTCAAGAATACCGACAAAAAGAATTTTTAAAAATTCTTCAACATTACGGTACAATATTTCACATTTCTTATACTGGCATATCTCAACAGAATGGTCGAGCTAAACATAAACTTCGACATATTTTAGATGTAACTCGTTCACTCACTCTTTTTGCTTCTATGCCTTTATCTTTTTGGGATGAAGCATCTCTTACTGCTGTTTATACCATGAATCGTGTTCCTACACCACTTTTACAAAATTAAACACCCTATAACGTCTCTATGGAAAACTTCCCGACTATAATCATCTTAAAGACTTTGGGTGTGCCTGTTTTGTTCTTCTTCAACCTCATGAGCGAAATAAGTTACAACCACGTTCTCAACTTTGTTGTTTTCTTGGCTATGAAATTGAACAAAAGGGGTATAGATGTTATGATCTTATTGATAAACGCCTAAGAATTTCTCGTCATGTCATTTTTTAGGAGCATAAACTGTTTCATACATTATCTTAGATTGTGGTTGCTCGATCTAGCACAGAAGTTGAATATAGGACGCTTGCTGATACTACTTCTGAGCTTCTATGGTTGTGTTGGCTCCTTCAAGACATGAGAGTTTCTTCATCCACTGCCACTATTATCTATTGTGATAATAAGAGTGCAATCTAGATTGCACATAATGAAATTTTTCATGAGCACATTAAACAAATTGAGATTAATTGTCATTTTGTTCGTCATCATCTTCTTCAAAAGACCTTACATTTGCGGTCCATCATTTCACATGATCAGATCGCTGATGTTTTCACTAAATCACTTCCACCATGCCGCTTTCAAGATCTTATTTCCAAACTCAAAATGGTTTTATTCAATCTACCTTAATTTTGAGGGGGGCTGTTAGAATATATTGTAGAATATATTATTAATATATTGTAGAATATATTCTAACCATGTATAGATTTACCATATAGGGTTTAGGTTTTTTGCTCTCCACACATCTCGTCACCTATATAGACCCATGTGTATCTTCATATGCCATACATCAATACAATATTCAGTTTCTCTCTTTTATATTTAACAGTATTAATGGTATTGATTTGTATGGGGATAGTAGAAAATCAAGTGATTCAATTGAATGAAATAATATAACAACTGAAGTTTAGTCGCCTATAACGAAACTAAGATTGAAGAACAAAAAAACTGGTAAAAATCTAAGAAAAATCTAAGAAAATAATTAACTTGTGTAAAGTTGAAGAAGTTTTCATTTTTCAACTTGTGACTCATGGATTTGTAAGAAAATAACAAATCTGATTCAACAAAGTTTTGCCAAGGTAAACAAGTTGAAGATAAAAACAGTGAACTTTCTACTTGTACATGGTGTAGTATAAATATTACAGCAAATTTAAGTTTGTCAATAACTTGGTCAAGAACTAAAGCTTCTTCATTCATGGATTTGACGAATAATGGATCCCATATGCATGACTTGCTTTGGGATGGGCTCTTGGCACGATATATAGCTAGTAGTTGCTCAAATATAAAAGTTAAAGTAGTTCATGATTTATCTCCAAACAAGTTTTTGGAGAATTCACAAGAGAGCTCTGAAAGTTTGTTCAAAGTTATTTTTGTCAAAGCTTATTGTGCTTTGATTGAGTATGGAAAAAAAAGAAAAATGTATGGAAGGCTTTATAGTTTACTCTAATTCATAATTGATCGTGGTAAATGTTATAAGGGGATGTTTGTCCCACATCGGATCTGGATGAAAGAGTGATTGGGTATAAATGGTAAGGGTGACAAAATTTGACACGATCCGCCAATACGACTCGAATACAACACGAGTTAAGCAGGTTTGGGTTGATCTTAAATAGGTTTGGGTCGTAAATGAGTCGACACGATTAATCCGTTTATTAAATAGTGTCGTGTTTGTCATAAACAAATTTATATTTAAGTTCTAAAATAATTGTCTAAACTTGTGTGTTATAATTTATTCTTTTATAGACTAAAGATTATTTAGTAATTTGGTTGGATTGAAACTTTTATTTTTCTAGTATTTATTGTTTGATTGAGTATTATTTAAAATTTAAATAATATAATACTTTGTCTTAGTAAATAGGTCATTAAACGGGTTGCACGTGTAACGTTACACGTTTAATAAACAGGTCAGGTTAGTGTTGAGAATTCCTGACACGATTATTAAACGGGTCGTGTTCGTGTTGAGTTGTTTAGTATAATAATTTTAGATCGACATGATATAATTATGACTCGCGAACACGAATTGTCACCCTTAATAAATGGGTGGATATGTAGGACTACACAATAATTTAAGTTTTTTTAGTAAATGGGCAAGCGCCCACCCGTTGCAGTTGGTATCAGAGTCAAATCCAATCATTGATCCGGTGCCACGCCAAGTGCCCTGCCCGAAAGACATCCGGGTGAGTCACTTTGGATAGGTAGGGTGGCCGACCGCAACGAGGGCATTACGAGTTCGGGTGAGGGAGAATGTTTCAAGGGGATATTTGTCCCACATTGAATCCGGATGGGAGAGTAGTTGGGTATAAATAGACGGGTATAAAATATTATCTAACAATCTAAATTTTTAGATAAATAGACAGGTATTCACTCATTACACTTAAATTAGTTCAAACTCGAGGGTTAGTTTTCTTCAAATGATTTATGGTCTTTGAAAAGATTAATGCAAATAGAGTTTTAAAAAATGTTTAGTAAAGTTACGAAGATATCATGGAAATAGTAAAAATTGTTACTAATACTTTGTGAGTAGCTTAAAAGTCAACCTAAAAAAAATCGAGTATCTAGAGAAAATCAAGTGTCACTAATAGCTATCTTATAAAAGGTGTAGTCCTCTGCTATGAATTAATATAATTTTAAAATATTATCAGTTTATAACAATTTTTCATATATTTTTTAATTTTTCTGCAGAAATTTAAACTCCGAAAGTGATTAGAGTACTTCTTACTATTATAAAAAGTTTTTTTTTTTTTTTTTTTAAATTGTAAAAGAAACGGGAAATCATACAAACTTTCGGAAAAAAAAAACACTCTATTTTGGTTCCGTGTCTCTTTTTTTTTTTTTATTAATGCTTCTCAGTCATAAAGTTTTGGAATTTTTTTTTTTTTTTTCTTAACAAGATTCTTGACAATTTTAGAAAATTTTTAAATTTCTGTATATTTCGTTTTAAAAGGATAGAAAAAAAGTCAATAACATTGTATTTGGTAGCAAATAATTTCTTAAAATTTGAACTAATTTTTTTTTTTAATTTTAATTTTAAAAAAATATATATTTTAATGATAAAGCAAACACGGATTTGATGCTCCGAAAAGTCACATGGGTCAAGAGGCAAAAGAAGTGGCGTTTCAAAGTTCCAAGTCAATTAAAATTAGGGGTCGAATCACTACACGAATACCAATCAAACGGATGAGAAACCACCACCTCAAAAATAAAATAAACTAAACTTAATCCAAAAACAAATCAATTCAAAAAAATCGAAAAAAAAAAAAAAAAAATTCAACCATTCAACATTCTCTCTCTACTTCTCTCTCATGGAACCGAATGAAAGTGGACTGAGCTCTTACTACCACCAACAGCACCACCCTCCACAACCACCACACCCTCAACACCTCCAGATTCCCGCCACCGCCACCACCGCCTCCGCCGCCACTACTGCTGCCGCCACTTCCCCCACTAATGGAATTTTGCCCAACACCGACAGGGCGCCTCACATGGTGTACCCTCACTCCGTTCCCTCGGCGGTGTCGACGCCGTTAGAGATCGGCCGGAGGAAGAGAGGGAGACCCAGAAAGTACGGGACGCCGGAGCAAGCGGCGGCGGCCAAGAGACTGTCGTCGTCATCGGCGTCTCTGTCTTCGATGCCAATTTCGCCGCCGAAGAAGAAAGACCAGTCCTTTGGGGCTGGTGGTGGTGCTTCTTCTTCGTCTTCCAAAAAAACCCAATTGGCTGCTCTGGGTGGGTCTCTCTAAAAGCCCTTCAAATTTTTCACTGATTTTTATGCAAATTTTCTGAATGCCAGTCTATATATATATATATTTGTAATCTTTGTTTGCATGGAACAATTGGGTAGGCATTGTTAACTAGACCACTCTTAGGGATTGTTGTAAGCATTATGTGATGGAGTTTGTGGAGTGGCAAAAACTTTGGTTGAATTCAAGAGGGTTTTGGTGAAATTGTGTTTGCATGTAACAATTGGAGAGGAATTGGGTATGAAACCTTTAGTTTTATATTGTAATTTTATGTTTGATATCAACTTGATTCTACAAGCATTTATCTTTGTGAAACCAATTTTATTATATCACTTCTGTGCCAAGTTATTTTATTTTATTTTTATTTTTGAAGGGTTTGGTGTATGTGTTTAGATGGAACAATTACCTTTGCATAGTTGATATGCCAATGATCGAAGTTTGTTAGGTTTCATTACTATTTTTGATATTACTACGTTTTTCTGACTTGGTTTTGCCACATAATATTTTACTCTTTATATTCGCACTGCCAATTTTCCAAATTTGTTACCCTTGGTGGATACCTGAATATTATCTTTTCGAATTTATTTAATTCAGCACGATATATTAAGCAATTTTTATTTGTATGTACCAGTGGGAGAAGTTTATTATGTTCCTAAAACCCTTCAATTTGTTATGCACTGCTCTGCCTAGTTTCACGTTTTGATATGTATTTGCTTGTTACAGTTAAATATGTATAGTTGATGTGTGCGGTTTATTCCTTAGCTATAGTGGTTGTATTCTGTAATGTTTTTCAATCGATGTATGCAACTTGTTTCTGCTAGCATTGTTGTCATTCCACTTTCAATTTGTATAACATTGAATTACTTGGTTAGACTTCATGGGGTTCTGAAACATTTTGTGCTGAATTTCTTGAATTGAAGATCGTACATAAGGCAGTTGAGTATGCATGGAAAAGTTGGTGAAGCATTGCATATCTCTTTCTTTGTTTCTAATTAAATAGTTATTTTGGGAAAAAATGAAAAATCTTCTCCAATGTTTGTTCCAACTTGGTCATATAGGCTTCACCTTCATGCCCTGTTTTGTTTGAGGGACAAAAAAATAGAAGGCAATAAGGATGGGGAAGGCATGCCTAGGGAAAGGGAGAGGTTTTTCTATACTTTTTGTTTTGTTATACATGAATCAAAGGAGGAATGAACGAAATGTGTGTTTCGTGGTCTTACTATTATAGTCGTATATTCTAAAAGGTTGGTGGTGGTTTGAAGGCAAAAATGTAAAAATGGTGAATTCCTTAGGGAGAAAATAATACGGTAGGTCTGGAGGAAAGGCCCTTCTATCCTTTCTTCCCTTTCCTTATGTTCCCTTTTCTCAACAAAAAGCCTATGTATCCCTTCCTTTATTTGAAAGGCAAAGTATCCCTTGTTGCTTCTCTCCCTTTCCTTCTTTCTCCTCTTCCTTTCAATTAAATGGGCCATTGTGAAAGTTCTCACTAAATGCCATTTATGGAGTGCAATTTCTTGAAATTAGGATAATTCGTTGCATTTGTGTTGACATGATTTATTCAAAGAATCAATGTGTTCAAGCTCTTTAAGTAACACACTTTCAGAGGGAGATGTTTTTTTAGTTGTCTCATTTATGGTGAACATAATGCTGCTGTAAGCAGTGACATTGAAGGGTTCTGTTTCATTTCCAGACCATTATCTGGTCCTGTATCCTTTGGTATTGATTTGGTTATTTGTATTTTTGTTCAATTTCGTCAAAGTTAATAATGAGGGGAAGAAGTAGAATAGAAGAGAGAAAGGAAAAGAAACAAAATAGAAAGAAGCCTGGAAAAAATGTCCAGGATGATGTTCGCTATGTATCAATCAATATATCAATGTCATTTTTTCCATGACCTTGATATATCTTTTTCTTTTAATCAAGACTATCCACAATTTTGTTTATTTTTATTTCTTTTTTGCAGAATTTCTGAAACAATAGTGATATATTGTGATATATCCATAATTTTGAGATTATGATATAGTCATTTTATTAATATTATATTCCTTTGAAATGAGAGAAAGACCTGAGGTGTTATTGATCCCACTAGGTAGCTCTTGATGTGTTTTCGAAATGCTTAGGAATTTTTCTTTTTAAACCTTCACAGTTTTTCCTACAGTTTTGCTGAAAATTTTGAATTTAAGAGGGTGGTGCATGTAGCAATCAGGGAAGCTTTATGTTAGACTTTATACCTAAGTTACAACTTTATCATTAACTGAGAACATTCCAAGTTACATGACTGCTGCACTCATCCATATACCATAGTCAATAATTTATAATGTATCTTGAAGAATACAATGCATCTTATGCAATTATAAATACTAAGGCCAATGTATGACATGTTTTGTACCAATAAATCTCATTTATAAAAAATAAATAAAATGTATGTTGAATATGCAAGGAAAAATTGAATTTTAGGGCACAAAATGCCAGCTCCTCCTACTGTTCTGGATCAATTACATGATTTTTTTTTTTTTGGGGCATTTTGCTATATATAAAGTCATATCTTCAGTTAAACTACATTCTTTCATTTTTCAGTATTATCTTAACCTATATTATTTTCTTCTCCTATCATTACCTTCAATGTGACCACGATACTCTTCCTCACTGGTGCGCTTATTGGTATTTGTTGCACTTGGCTAAACCATATTAATCAATTTATCTTATTTTATCTATAATGGTGCTAGTTCAATTGTTTCAACAATGTATTCATAAATGAATGTTATATCTAGTGTGATGATAAGATGAAGGCATATGTCCTGTGGTCTTGCAAGCTGCTCTTTAATGCTTCAGAGTTCTAAGCTTATTCTCGATTGAGAATAGCTGTCCACTTATATTTTCTATTTTCTACATTTGGAATACTTTTGTTGCAATTAAATTTTGTACATATTATTTTCTTTAAAATACATATTTTATGGCATAAGACTTCTCTTTAGCTTCTTTCTTATTTTGAAACAGTAATATCTGAGTTCCTATCAGTTTATTGTATGTGTTAGTTACATACTTGAATACTTACTTGGTGCTTTCACTTCTACTTGCTTGATGCAGGCAATGCAGGACAAGGTTTTATACCGCATATTATTGCTGTAGCCGCGGGAGAAGTATGCTTTTCACGTTCTTTATTTACTGTTAAAAGCATCTAGTTTATATTAATTCTAAGTATGTCATTAAACTTGACTTGTTTGCCAGATAAAATTCTCCAAAACTCTGTGAATATGTTTTTCATTTTGGACATATTATAATTGGCCTTTTTCTTTGTGTTTCTTAATGCTGGATTTCTTGGTTAATGAGAAAGCATTTATAGTATATGTAGTTATTTGACCATCTCCTAATATTGTTTATAGTGATGAGATTAAACCCATCTCATAATAAATTTCTTGTTATTATCACTGAGCATTTCTTGGACATGCTATCCTATATGGCTTTTGATTGTTGCCCTGAATTTGACGGCTTAATTAATTTTTATTGTTCTTCCCTTGTCCCTTTCTTCATCATTTATAACACATTTCAGATTTTAAGTAATTGTAGAGTATATGAAAAGATGACTCAAATTATCATTGAAGTTGCTGACTGCTACATATTTCACATTAGTTTCTGAAAAGGTTAAGGCTTAGTGTAACTCATCACTCCTTTCTTTTTCATGGATTCTTGAGTGCATTGAATTTTGCAAAATATGATAAGAGGGTATTTGAATCTAAATTTATTTGTGGGACACTTACACTCATCTGTTTATCCTTAAAAAAGAATCATGGTAATATTCTTCTTCCTTCATCATAATATTGGCTGTCAACCAGGAGTTGTTAACGGAAATATTTTGGTTATTGATGATGTTATTATCCAGGCTACCCTTTGTTCATTTAGAAGATGTTACAGCATGGTCTTTTACATGAAGAATGCCAAAATTTTATTTCCGTTGCTTAATACATTCTAGGACCTTAAATTGATAATAAGTTGTTTCCTAATATAAAGAATTAGAGGCTAACATTTGCAGTATAAATATTTTGACCTGGTTTATTATAAATTTGCCTTCCTATTGTTTTACATGACACAAAATTGATATTCTTATACAAAGAAAGAAATTCTTTTTCCTTTTTCTTATTAATGAAGTTTTTCTTTGGCCTTTGTTTATTTAAGAAAGGTTCAATGGTGTGAATTATGAGGAATTGCCTTGAAATTGATATAAGTTCAATTTTTATGGTTGGATCTTGGCAAGATTAAGCAGGAAAGAGTATCATTCTGTTTGAGATGCTTGATGATATCATAAAGTGTATAACTAAAATATACTCAAATAAGAAAAAACAAAATCCAATATTCAGTATCATTAATGACTACTATATAAAAATGCTTTTTTTTTTTTTTTTTTTTTTTTTTAACATCATAGTTCACAATTATAGTTTTATGGCTTGTATTAAAAAAAGATACGAAGACATTTCCTTATAAATGATTATGCAACAAATGTTGCCCTTCAGGCTATAGGTATGCGTCTCCAACTCTAAAGATCTAACTGGCTAACTATTTAAAATTTCTACATTCAACTACGGAAAATATATATATATTTGTTTGGTTTTAACAAATATATTTGTTTGATACTAAACAGCTTCGTAACTATGTTACATGGACTCCGGTACATGTGTTAGGTGTGGGTGCATATCCAAGCCCATGTCTAATCCCAAATAGAATGACACGGACATTGCAAAATATTTGTATTTTTTAATTGAATTTTATTTTTCATTGTACAATAATGTCAGATAGTGTTCAATACATGCATTTCACTCATTTGAAGCAATATATTAAAATAAAATTATTGGATATCCTTTATAGTTGCATTTCCAACTATAAGAGTTGAACACACATCTCATACCCATGTATGAGTATTGTGTGTCTGACACATATACTTAACTTACTTTTGAAGGGTTCATGTAGCATAGCTTCATAGATATAGTTAATTAACTTTGGACATTATTGATTCATATCATTGCATATGCTCAATGCATCGTTGGTATCATCTACTTCGACAGATTATTTTCCTCCTCTTAGTCTTGGCTGAAAGTTGTTACACGCTTTTTAGAAGAAAAATAATATCTCAACTGCAAGAACCTCATGTCCACTTTTATTATGATAATTAATTTACTCTCTTTGTAACCTTTTCCATTTGCTGAGAAATGTGACGGGTTTCTTAACCTTCTAAAAAGGAGATGTGACTTCTGTAATTTTAGAGGGTTGCACACCATACATATCATGAGCTCTTATCCACTAATTTTTTTGTTCAAGTTGAAAATGTTGCAGCTTAATGACCTCTTATATTTACTAAATTTCTTTCTTTTTATCATAGCTTGGTAGCAAAGAAATTGAAAGATTAGAATGTGATTCATTTATAAACTATTATATATGGTTTCATGGGACCAAGTCCCGAGGCAGAAAATAAGGTGGTTAAAGTATTAGGCCAATGTAAGCTTCTGATTAGTGATTGCTTGGAAACTTGTTGTAATGTTGTGCTCTATCATTGGATGAAATGTAATCTTCTATTCTACGTTCCAAAGTTTGTGCAGCTGGCATCTTGTGCTTCTTGGCTTTGGATTGCTCCCTCTGGTGGTGATGTCTAGAATTTTATTTTGGTTTAGAGGGAAAAAAGGTGATAAAACTAATTTTCAAGAAGACAGTTCTGCTCATCTTCTTGACTTCTTGTTCTTCACTTTGTCCTACACATTTTCTATCTAGTTGGATTGTTTGGAACTTGGAGATTCTCTGGACAGCCTGTTGAACTTCACTTGGCACATTGAAGTCTACAGGGCAATTCTGTGGGATCATTTCTTATCTGGCCCATTTAATCAGCTTTCTCCTTCTTACACAAGCTTTATCACAGGTGGTTTTAGACCCTAAATGCATAAAGTTCTCCTTAAGTTCCTTAAAATCCTGTAGTGAATGTGGGGCTGTATTAAGAAGTCTCAAGTAGCGATTGAATGTTTGCGCGGGAATGAGATCAGATATCTATTTTCATGAAATCCAATATGTTTCCACTATCTTTGGGGCTAGTAAATCTTCTTAGATCATAAGGTTGAACATCCAAATTGTTAATTCAAGCTTTTTTTGTTGTCGGCCAAATCTTATCAAACTTTCCTGTGGGAGTCAGAATTGAGATCCTCACCCCTCACCCAACCACCACCATCAAAATGTGGCCTGAGAGTGATCCATAATTCTATACATCCCTACCTGCAATAAAGATTTCTTTAGGGGAAAGAAACTTAAGGTCAAAAAACTTAAGATTTTGCATAATTCTATAAAGATTTTGCATCCAAAGCTCAAAAAACTTAAGATCTCTTAGATCTAGACTGGTGAAGGAGAAGTAGAAGTGAAAATGAGATGCAAAAAACCAAGAAATTGTTCATCTCTTCTTGCATTTCAGTTTTTCAGAGCCAGAGATGCAGTCAAAATGCTTTGTCAGAGGCCTTTTTCTTGTGATTATCTCTGCTAGAGCTCTAAAATCATTGTCGGAACTATATCGAAGCTCTTCTGGTTCACTTATTGAGACCTAGTTATTTTTTTTTTCTTTTTTTTTTTTTTTTTTTTCAAATATGGTTTTTTCCTTTGGTGAAGACGCTGAAGAGAAAATATACTCTCTCTCTCTCACTCGTATTGCAAGGCAAATGAAGTGAGAATCTGTTCAGCCTATTTCTTTCATCTTTTTACAGAATAAAAATTATAATTTTACCCTTAGTTTTGTAATTACAACATTATATCATAAAAATACTTCTTGTAATTGCCTAGTAATTTATGTTTTTCTTTCACTTGTACTCTTCTTAATTTATTTTTTGATACTTACACTAATTTCAATGACTCTTCAACATTTTAGTCGTGTCCCGTATCCCAAATTTTAGAGATTAGAAGTATCCGATCTTCATAAATTGAATCCTTTCTTCTATATAGTATATATTAATGAAAAATTATCAAATTTTTTCTTATGAGTTTTGACTATGTAATAGAAACATGGGTTGCTTATACATATTGATACACTAATGGGTAATCATAAAATTAAAATAACAATGTTATTTGTGTAGTGTCCAAGTACCCATATCTAATCATTACCCAATCATACAAAGCAATACACTCATTAATTTATTAATATGTCCACACACACACACTAAACCTTAAATAATAACAACTTAGAATTCATGTATAGGCATTGTTTTTGAAAAAAAATCATTATAACCCATATTTATTGATTTTGGTATAAAAAGTTGCGTGTCGGTGCATTTTAGGTGCTACATGCGAGGTGCGAAAAAGTCCACACCCGTGATAACTAATTTTGTTATGTTACGTCAGATAGGGCCCCGTGTCCGTTACGCCTTGTCTGTGTCCACTTCAACAGCCGTGTCCTTGTCATTGAACTATAATTTGAAATGGCATGCTTCTATAATGTGGTCCTTTTCTAAATGGGGTTCCAGAAATTGTATTTACTCTTCCATGGTTGGGTTAACGGATGTTAAAATATTTCTTTATTTTGGTTACTATTTTTCCAATGTTCAGCTTATTCTTCTTTGGTGTTATATCTTCTTTGGTATTATATATGAAGTTTTTTTTCCGCTGAATTTATATGCATGAAGTTTCACTTGTATGTATTAGATATCTGTATCAGTATTACTTCTTCTTGAGGGCACTTTTTGTTATTTTTATTTCCTCTCTCTTTCTATAGAATTTCATCGTAATAAGAAAAAATGAGTTGAAGTGAAAAAAAAATTATTTAAAATTTGACTCATGTTCAGGTGAATTTATCTTGTGCTGATATTGAAAATTGTTGAATTTATTTAAAATTTGTCTCGCGTTCCCCTCTCGAATGCCTTTTTTTATGTTATTTTTACTTATCAAAAAAAAAAATTTGTTGAATTGATTGATAGATCCAATATTTATATGTTGTGTTTGTTACTCTCCCTGTGTTTTTGGGTTTGCTTAAGGGAACTATAGAGTATTTGTGCCTAGATAGTTTGATTGTTTCTACCTTATACTCAGAAAGTCATGTTGTTTTAATTTTTTGTTGAAGCATGGTTCCCATTCATTGCTACAACAACAAGCGTTTTTCCCAACTACTTGGGGTTGGCTACACGAATCATATGTTTCCATTCTGAATGTCTTCTTTGCACTTAAAGTCATGTGGACTATGTCACTCTTCCTAACTGGTGCATTTAACGGTCTTCTTTGCACATATCCAAACCATCTTAATCGATTTTCTCTCATTTTATCTCCAATTTGTGCTACTGCTACCCCAACCATCTCCCGAATGTGCTCATTTATAATTCTATCTTTTCTAGTCTTACTGCAAATCCAACTCAACATTTGCATTTTCGCTATAGTCTCTTATGCATATGTTGTTTTCTAGTTGCCCAACATTCTGTCCCATAAAGTATGGCTGGTCCCCATTCATTGCTACACCTTGGCCTAATTTAATATTGTTGTGTTACATGGATCTTTAGTTCCACCAAGTTTACCCATTTCGACAAGTCGTGGGTATAAGTATAAACTATGTGCCTGATGCACAAATCCAAATTAAAGAAACTGAATTCTGTACATTAGATGTTGTAGAAGAAAAAATCAATTTTGACGAGAAGATTTCTTGCTTGCTGGGATGGATGGAAACTCCTTTTTTCTGACATCCCTTTTAGTTAAATTTTAATTTTTATATATCCTTGAAATAATAATATCATGCAGTACACAATCACATAAGGTATTTTTATGCACAAGTCATGTCTATGTCTTTGCATCCACCTTCTGGACGTTTTAAGCCAAATCCCTTTGTACTAAGATTTGGTATTCAGGGAGGTCCAACCATAGTTATTATATGCTCAATGCACACTATGGCACAGAGGTCTCCTAGAGCCTAGGCGTAAGGTGTGAGCATGATTTAAGTGAGGCACTTGTATAATAAAAATGAATATTAAATATAAATAAAGGAATTTTTCAGCATATCAACCCGATAAATTAGCTAAATCAAAAGTTTTTTGAAATGTAACTTTTGACATAAAAACTTGGAGGATCGTGAAAATCAATTCGCATAAATCCTTTAGAATCTTAGATATATATATATGCTTTACTTAATTCAAATGCCACAAAAAATTGTGCAACATTAATAATAATGATTATGTAGATTTTAAACATAAATAAGAATTTAGAATCAAGCACTAGACGCGATTACCGTATGAGCTCATGAATTCATCAAATATATGATAATATAATCCATTAATAATGACCTGATGTGATGTAGAATATTTAAATTCCTGTTCATTTAAAAAGAAAAACAAAAACAAAATGAATGATAAAAATAAATAAGATGAATTCCTTTTACTTTCTTTTTCTCTTGGCTTTGGTGCTCTGTTGTTGTCTGGAAGTGGTTATTCCAGAGTTTCCTTTTGTATGTTTGTTGTGTAGACGGGTTGTATCTCCGTTTTCTTTGTTTTTCGTTTTGTTTACTGAAGTTCACCTAGGAAAAAATAAATAAATAAGATGAATGCTCTTTTGAGCTTGTAGACTACTAAAAAACAAATCTCAGGACTTTATGTGACCCTAACTGAACGGGCTTGGCTTGTAGTATTTTGAGGCACTCTAGATGAGCCTCGACAAGCCTAGGGCATTTTTGGAGACTAGGCATGCCTTTAACAATTATGGGTCTGAGTTTTCTATTTATATCCACACCTAATACACTACTCACGTCCATGGAACATAATAAATATAAATTCATGTCTGCTCTGAGTAGTGGATATAACAGCCAGAGTGGTTTCTTTTCTTCTTCTGAATAGTATTAGTTTCGACTTCTTTTTTTTTTTTTTGGTTGTAATTGTGACCCTCTTACTCGATATATGGATGCATCTGACAGGACGTCTCTCAGAAAATTATGGTATTTATGCAACAAAGCAAGCGCGAAATATGTATTCTGTCAGCATCAGGTTCCATCTCTAATCCGTCTCTACGCCAACCAGCAACATCTGGAGGCAACATTACGTATGAGGTAGAAAGTTTATGAATTCTTTTGCACAAAACTTTCATCAGATTGATGCAAAATTGGGGGGAAAAAAAACAAAGAAGAGTTGCATTCTTTTTTTCTTCTTCTTCTTCTTGAAATGCCTTGGGCTTCTTCTTAATTGTGATATGTTAATTCTTACTTATCAAAAAAAAAAAAATTGTGATATGTTAATTCTTCAGTTATTAATTGTTGCTTCTTTTTTTCTTCTTCTTGAAATGCCTTAGGCTTCATCTTAATTGTAATATGTTAATTCTTCAGTTATTAATTGTTGCTTCCTTTTCCCTAAAAATACTCTGTTTGTGATTATGTGATAGGTAAAGTTGTAATATTTCTCTTAAGACATTTCCTTTCTGATTTCTGGTCTTCATCATCTCTTAATATGAAAATCATGTCATTTTCATAATTCTTAGTAATAATAGTATGTATGACTGCTGGTTCAAGAGCCATCATTTCAGCCAACTCGGCTATCCATGTGGATTAACGGTATGGTAAATATTGGAAAATATATCTTTGGTTGATTACTGGGCTATTTGGACTATGGATGGCTCGTGTTGAAAAGTTGATTGTGTTTTCTGTATAGTTTGAAATGAAGTGTTATTAGCATTGAAATCTGACTTCTCATTTTCTTTATAATTACTAGTCAAAAATAATTTCAGTTTAACATACCAAAAATGATTTCATTGTGTTTTATGGTTTGGAATGTGTCCTCTTTGTTATCATTTCCTTTCAATGAGTCTATGTTAGTAGTAAGGCTATGTTGGTGTTCAATAAACGGCCTCATTTCTAGGTTGTGCTGCTATTATGGTAATACCTCCATGTTAAGTTACCAACTTATGTGTTCAAATTCTATTGTAAAAGACTATAGAATCCATTTCCAAAACAAAAACAAAAAGGAAAAAGAAAAGAAGTACGACATTTATACTCGTAAAAAATGATCAACTTTTTATATTCCTTGGCATGTGAGCACTAGCTTATAGCATGGGACATTACCAAAATGCTAGTAGAATAAAATTATGAAATGCGTTCATTTTTTGAAATTTTTTTTTTTGATAAGTAAAAATATATTAGAAAAACGTTCAAAAGGGGAACGTGTCCCTAATACAAGAATAAAAAAGGTCTAAGGACCAATGGAATCCAAGAGATCAAAGAAATCATCAATCGAGGAGCATGCACTTCCTCTTACATAATAGAACAGAGAACGAAGAATATGAATTTTTAAAGTAGCTAAAGACGATTATTTTCCTTCAAAGGATCTGTTATTCCTCTCACGCCACAAGCACCACCACACACAATGTGGAACAATCTTCCAATAATCCCGAGCTTGTTCTTTGACAGGACACCTTTTCCAAGCGTTAATTAATTGAGAGGAGTGCTTAGGCATTACCCAAAAAAGGCCAAACATGCTAAAAATAAAACTCCAACAATCAAACGCCACAGGACAATGCAAAAGAATGTGGTCCACGGATTCACTTTCAGCTTTACATAAACAACACCAACTAACAATAATGTTGCCTCTCTTTCTCAAATTGTCCAATGTCAAAATCTTCCCCAATGTGGCAGTCCAAAGACAGACTTCCAAGGGAACTCAGGACCAACGAAATTGGACAAACAGATGAACATAGAGCGGACACCATACCGACCATGAGCTAAAAGGAACCCACAAAATATCATCACACCCTCTGCCAACAACCTTCTGTCTATACAACGTATCCAAAAAAACACAAGCTTACTCCATTTCACAATCCTGAAAGGGCCGCCTAAACCGCACATCCCACGTAACTCCATTGTTATCAAGTTGATAACAATCAATTACGTAAACATACTTATTGGCTGCAATACTGTAAAGCCTAGGAAAGGAGTGAGACAAAAACTGATCGCCACACCAAAGGTCCTCCCAAAAACGAACATGTCTGCCATCACAAACTTTGAATATAATATGTGTGGAGAAAACATCCCAACCCTCTGAATGAATTTCCACACACCAACGCCTCCCGTAATAGTGACTGGAAGAGATGACCAGCCCCCACTCTCCTCACCAAAACGACACGAGACAACTCTTCTCCACTGACGATGGCGTTCCCTTCCAAATCTCCATAACCACTTTCCCAAGAGAGCACGATTAAAAGGAACAATTTTTCGAATGCCTAACCCACCTAACCTCAACGGTTGGCAGACTTGATCCCAATTGACAAGATGATACTTAAACTCCTCTCCCTTTCCACCCCAGAGAAAATTCCTCTGAATTTTTTCAATCATTTCAGCAACAGAGCATGGAATTTGAAACAAAGATAAAAAAATAGGTAGGAAGGGATGAGAGAGTACTCTTAATGAGTGTGACTATCCCCCTCTTAGATAGATACTGCTTTTTCCATCCTGCTAATCTTTTCTCATATCTATTAATCACTGGATCCCAATTCCCAACTCAAGTAGAAGAAACTCCCAAAGGCAATCCTAAGTAAGGAAGAGGAAAAGAACCAAGTCCACATCCTAAAACAGCAGCTAAGGGGGAAATATCTGGAACATCCCCCACTGGTACAAGTACACTCTTTCCGACATTAATCTTTAGCCCAGAAATCGCTTGGAAGCAAGCGAGAGTGCACCTCAGGTATTTGAGTTGAGAAACTTCAGCATCACAAAATACCAAAGTATCATCAGCGAATAATAAATGGGAAATCTGCATCTGATGTTCAACATCTCTGCCAACTCTGAACCCCCTGATGTAACCCAAATCTTCCGCTTTTCTCATTAACCTGCTCAAACCTTCCATGACAATGAGGAAAAGAAAAGACGATAATGGATCTCCTTGTCGTAGACCATGCGAGCTAGCAAAAAAACCCGCAGGTGAACCATTCACAAGAACAGAAAACATAACTGACGAGATACAAGTTTCAATCCATTTTATTCATCTATCACCAAACCCTATTCTCCGAAGCAGATACAGAACAAACTTCCAATTAACATGATCATAAGCTTTCTCAATATCAAGCTTACACAAAACGCCAGGAACGCCACTAATCTAGAGTCTAACACATTCCCCAGCAATAAGAACAGAATCCAAAATCTGCCTTCCACCAACAAAAGCATTTTGTGATTCTGAAATGAGACCATCCAAAACATTACTCATCCTCGAGACAAGAATGTTCAGGAATTAAAAAAGACTGACTGCTGATGACCACTAAAAAGATTCATAGAATGCTGACGTGCCATTTATATAACTTTATCTGGTAAATTTTCGTAAGGAAGTCATGCTTGATCTTTATTGGTCAGGCCATAGTGGGCGATTGTTAAAATGTGCGTGAGGCTTATTTTAACAAATCTTTATTGGTCAGGTTATCTGGGTTATTAATTAAGGCAATTAACTTATTTGAATAAACAAATAGGAACTGTCATGAGATCTTCTTTCTAACAAAGCTTTGAGAAAAGAGTAAATTGACTTATTTAAATACCCAAATTATCATATTGGTTTATTTTTAGTTCTGTTAAAAATGAAGTCTTCAACATTCATGGGGTGCCTAAATTCCAGAAAATTAAAAAGAAAAGGAAAACAAATAGAACTAAATGGCAGGTGTCCTATCAGAATGTGGATATTTTTATGAAAATACTGGTTTGTTATTTGCTTAGATGTCGTCGCTTTGACATTGTTACTGTGACCCAACTGGATGACTTGAAAGTTGATATGTAGCTTTGTCCTCTAAAAAACAAGTTTTGTGATTGATAAGATAGTTGTTTTGTGCTTATTCTGATTTCAGGGAGTGTTTGACATCCTAACACTGTCTGGATCTTATGTCCGTACTGAGCTTGGAGGAAGAACGGGTGGACTCAGCGTATGTCTTTCCAATCCTGATGGCCAAATTATTGGAGGTGGAGTTGGTGGACCCATGAAGGCTGCAGGCCCAGTTCAGGTAGCATTTAAATTGTAATATTTGTTGGACAAAAATATGCTGTAAGAACTAGGGGACAGCAATCTTCATATGCTGACGACGTGGTTCTGGTGTGGCGGGCGGGTGTGAGAGTGAAAGAGAGCTAAGCACACCATTCTCTGATTCGCGAACCCTTAGTGTCAGTAACAATAAAGTATACAGAGAATACTTGACACATGCAGAGAGAGAGAGAGAGAGGAACTGACTACCTTTTGTAATTTGGGGGACCACTAATGTTACTAATTAATGTGTGTTTTAAACCAGAATGATTTCCTTTCTATTTTACTTGTAAAAATAGTGAGATTTTAGACGTAGAGAGATAAAAGAAGAGCGAGAAAGGCGAAAATAGAGAAATGTAAAAGAAATAGAAGAAAGGTTACTTCTATATCCATGCCTTACTAGTTGATTGTGTCCCCAGGTTATAGTTGGTACGTTTGTAATCGACAACAAGAAGGATATGACTGCTGGTGTAAAAGGTGATGCTTCTGCTAGCAAGTTCCCATCACCAGTTGGTGGAACATCAGTTTCAAGTGTTAGCTTCCAATCTGCAGTTGATTCTGGAAGAATCCCACTCCGGGGTAATGCTGATGATCAAAGTATGGGTGGTGGTCAGTATATAATGCAACCTAGGACCATGGCAGTAACGCCTTCACAGTCAATTGATTGGAGAGGTTCCGGTGGCACAGATGGTAGAGGCAATGCCAGTTACGAATTAGCAGGTATAAATTCCCTTGTCTGTGTTTTCGTTTTTTGTGTGTGTGTAGAGTGAGAGAGAGACTGAAGTGGGGAAATTCTCTTTTGCAGGAAGAACGAATCACGGAGTTCACGAATCTCCAGAAAATGGGGACTATTAGCAGATTAACGCTAGGGATTGGTCTTGCGACTTTGGATATGCTTTTGTGTCGAAGGTTTCTATATACTAGAGGTTCTTTTGTAAGGGCACGTAGATGTACAACTCCTTCCATCATCTGGAGTGTAATTTGATACTGTACAGGTTACTGACAGTTTTTCATTTTTTTTGGCAGCTGATACTGTTTCACTATGCATCACATATTAGCAATGGTTTCCTCTGTACTATCTGTGCATTGCTGTGGATTATCTTATCACTTTAGGTTGGATGTTTATGCAGGAAAGATGGATAGTGCTTGTTTATGTATGAGGAGATGAAAAGTAGTAGTATTATCTGGTAATGAATGTTTCTCATGTGACTTGAAAATCATTGTCACCGGCAATCTTGGGATGACACAGTACTGCGACGTGAGTCCTCACTCCTTAAGACCTGTGTCTTAAATTGGGATGACTGCTTTCTCAGAATTTCTTCTTCTTCAAGAAGTGAGTTCCCTGATTGCAGTATTTTCTTTCTCAACCATGGAGTTGCCTTGTATCGGTAAACGTGCCGCCCTGAACACCTGCTCTTTCAACCACTTGTATTCAATGGATCAAAATCCTCTCCGGTGAGGGGAACCGTGGTCCCATACCCTATTAATTGGAGCTCGCGTTATATTATAGTGGTCGTGAAAGTTTGAAATTTGTTATTTTTTTCTTCCCGGTGCATTTCTAAAGCAATCAGCTTATGAAAGAAAAATAAAATCAGTAAGAAGGGAAAACATAGTGCTAGTTGAAGTTAAAAAAAAAAAAAGAAAAGAAAAAAGCTTAAACACCCACAACTCAATCTCAAATAAAGGGAGAGGTAAAAAACAAACTGCTGAATAAGGTTGCCCTAGCAAAGATTTAATTTTAGCCTTTCACGTAAACATAAGAGTTAGAATTCTGTCTAGCAGCAGAATTAAAATACTAAAATGACAAAGGAGCAAGCTAAAATGACAAAGGAGCAAGCGCATGACTCGTTAAATAGAAGCATAATGACAAAAATATCTCAACTAAGCTTAAGGCTAACATAACTATTCGATAAATAGAAGCATAATGACAAAAATATCTCAACTAAAGCTTAAGGCTAACATAACTATAAATTTTCAGTCTCCAAGGTTATAGTGGTGTTGACAGGGATCCGGGATGCAAACTCTTGATGTCGTACTGCCTAATATCTTAAACTTTTGAATAAATGGGCAAGCGCCTAACCATTTTGAAGAGAATTTTGAACATTGCTCAATGGGGTGGACAATTATTGTCCTCACCCTTTTTACAATTCCAACCCTTGCTCAAAGTGAAAGAGGGAGAGCTTTCCTTGAAATAGAATGCGATGGAGCTAAGCAGGAGGTTGGGAGGATGAAGAAACACAAGGTCACAAGTCAACTTTCTTCTCTATTGCCTCTAATTTCAAGATTCACCAAGGCAGAATTGCTGATTCCCCAAATTTCTATAGGATGGTGCAATAATGTTGCCTCTCTCTTGCAAGGATTTTCTCATTGTGGATGTTAAATAGCAACCTACTTTGTCTTAAAATGACACACATATCATCTTTCTTGCTTATTTTCTCACCGGTCTCCATCCACTTCCAAGTCATTAACAAAAACTTTTCACCTAATTTACTAATAAAGTAATATAATTTAAAATAAATGATATAGTAAATAATAAAAAGATCAATAAGTTTAATGAATTCATGTAACACCACCTCAGTAAGTATTGCTTGTGGGTATATTTTTAAGAGTAATGGCATTTCGTAAATATGTAATTATTTTGAATATATTAACTATTTCTTTATTTCCTAATCACCTGGGAGGGACAAAAGAAAGATTTTTTTTATTTTTTATTTTTTTTCTTTCTTTAAAGAAGAAAGATTTTGCTATTTCTTCAACATTTTCTGATTTCTAGTAGACTTCCAAGTAGGATTCGAAGAATGAATGGATCTTGTAGGATTTTCAAGAAATTCTTCGATTTCTTCTGGAAGTAGATGAAAAGAAAGATTTTGTTGTTTCTTCAACATTTTCTGATTTCTAGTAACCTCTAAGTAGGATTCAAACTTTCTCAGAGAAAAAAGAATGAATGGTAGGATTTTCAAGAAATTCTTAGATTACTTCTGGAAGCAGATGATCGATAGCTAGAACATTGGGGAATATTTTTAAGGGTAATGTTATTTAGATCGATTTGTTTTGCCGAGAAGTCCATTCCAATGAGAGTTTTACGCTTTAACGTAATGGATAAGTTTAAGTGTAGATTACATGACTTAAGAAATATTTTTATTTTTATTTTTTATATGGGAACTAGATCCCCTCCATTGTTCTCTACTTTTCATTGGTGCATCTAACTAATAGATGCAAGCTACTCTTTACTTTTTATTAAAAACGTACAACAAATCAAATCCCATATGAGGGGTGTTTTTTTTTTTTTAAAATCAAAAAACTATTCAAAATCCCATTTGAAATTAACAATAGGAATTCTTGGGATGGCAAATTACTCCCACCTTGTCCCAATTGAGACAATTTTGAAATAGTGAAGGGATAAAAACTTGTACGACCTAGGGTTGGGATAAATATCCCGCCCTTGACTGCCAGTATGCATTGTGTAATTATTTAAAGGAAGATGATATTTGCACTTCCCTTTTTCCAATCGCATTGCATTTATTATTTTTTTTTAAAATGAAATGACAAGAAAGTTTTTGAATTCATTAATACACAATTCCTTAATTTATAATGTCATAACTACCTTTTATACAACTTAAATTATTTTTTGTTTACCTTATTTACTTTCTTTTTGTTTTTTCTGGAGGTCCTCCTCTCAAAGAAAATAATTTATTTTTATACTAATAATTTTATTTTTGGCAGTCAAAAGAGATAATTTATTCCATAGTGACTATATATATATATATATATATATTTTTTGTATAATCCAAATAGATATTTATTCAACAAAATTGACTTTTTTTTTTTCAATTTTGTCACAAGAGGTAACTTTATTTTTTGATAATTTTTTATAGGTCCTGTCAAAAGAAATAATTTATTCCATAAATGTAGTGCGATTGGAGAAAAGTAGAGTGCCAAGATCGCCTCACTATTTAAATACTCATATACAATAAAACACCAAAACCTAATATCTTATCCCTTGGCATTTCATAAACTCAATTATATATACTAGGCTACACTGTCCTTATAACCAAACTTTATGTAAAAAACAGTAATTGGAGATCTCTAAATAAAAAATTTGAAATTGCCAAAAAAAATAAATGAATAATAATAATAATATTAAATATGATGGGTGATAATTAAAATTGTGAATATAAAGGGCGAGACACGAAATATGTCAAAATACAGGGTAACAATGGGAAAAAATACGAAATGAAAACCTAAAACCCTAACCCCTCCTGTACTATAAATATCCGCTACAGGGTTACAGCGAAAACCCTATTCGTTCCTGATAAAGAAGGTATCTCCAAATTGAAGCTCCCTCGGAGGTACGAAATCTTTGTGTACTATTATGGTTCCATTTGTTTCAATACATTTCATCTTTGTGCATATATGCGACTATATATATACATATATTGTGTTATAGTGTATGTGTATGTATATATGTATCTATGTATACATCATATATGATAGTGGAAGAAGCACATATCGAAGGCCTGCAGGCGGGTATCGAAGCCTGTGGAGCTCAAAAGCTGTGCAAGATCAAAAATCATCATCCATGTGATGAGGTCCTCCTGATATATACAGAGGATTTCTTATGGATGATGAAACAATATATTTTCTAATTTCTCTCTCAACTTTTGCATTTCCTTTTTACTTGTATGTTGCCATGTTTGTTTGTGTTGTTTATATCAAATTTTTGCTTTCTTGTTTGTTTCAATGGAAAATGTTTCAGGGGTAAACATGTTTTTGGTAAAACTATGAACATTTTGGAGATCCTGATAAATTTCAATTGAAATAAATAACATATTTGTTTAGTTGGAATCTATATTTAAATGGTTTCAAAAAAAAAAAAAAAACTTTTTCCTGAATTTAATTGAAGAAAATTGTTAAGATCTTTGCTAAGTGTCAATTTTACAAGCAAAATTGATAATCACCCTGTACCCATAAAGCAGTGAGAAGGCTATTCTTGTAGCAGTGCTTAGCTCGGTCTTTTTAACCTTTAATACAATTAACAGATAAAATTTGCAATACAGATTATATTTTTGCGGCACTCATAAATTCACACCAAAGAGACTAACATTGTGCTCTGTGGCTGTAAAATAATAGGTAAAATTTGATTGTTTCACCCTCCATGAGATTTGTCGTTGTGCCAAACAAATCTCACAAAATTTACCCAACTGGAGAAGAGAGTATTTTATTGTCACAGAGCACAATGTTCCTTGGTGTGAATTTATGAAAGTCTATAAAAAATTTATCTGTATTGCAAAATTTATTGGAAAAAGAAATTTACTATTATATTAAAGGATAAAAAAGGCTCATTTATCCCTCCAATTTTCTCAGCTATGCACTCCTACAAGAATAGCCTTCATACTACTTTATAGGAACATCGGTGATAATCATTATATGTAGGTTTGTGGTTTTATGTCCATACTGTGTGCTAAACGGATGGTGGTAGTTCCTATAGGGACCAGAAAGAATCCTTTTCCGTTTATTAAGTCAATTGGTCATGAGACTTTAACAAGGTTGATTATCTTAAACAAGGTAGAAGGTGAAGGCATGAGTTTGTAATAAACTTTATTTTATTGAAATGAGATTAGTAATCTCAACAACACTAAGACTTGCTAACCTATATGTAAAATTTAGGTTATTTTAGTCTTGGTGTGTACAGGATTTCTAATTGGATTAGGATATACATGTAGCCAAAGTGCCTAAGTAGGAAATAATTAGGTTTTTAAAAAAGAAAAATTGGCTACAGAGGCTTGAAATTTGAAATTGACTGGGATAGTACATTCTTGGAAGAGAAATCTAGATATTTGGTTTAAAATAATGCTGTCAAGTTGATCTTATCTATATTATTTTTTGTATATAATTGTGAATGAAGTTTCAACCTGCACTTATGAACGGTACTCTCTCAATCTCAAGGTGTGCAGCCTTTTTTTTTACTTCACCCATTTGCCCCTATGGGGACTCGAACGCCAATATTCTAATCCAATTGGAAATTCTAATTCTGTACCTACATGGATTAAAATAAACTAATTAGTTTCTTTATCCCTATTTGTTTTGTAAATTAAAATTAATATTTTTTTATGGATATTACAGTATACTTGTGTTCATTTTAAACCAAACATATTCTTATGTGAACTTCCTAGTTTTTTTTACTGGTCCTACTGGATGTTTCATTAGATGCTGTTACTAGGTTTAACCTCTGCTATGCACTTAGTGTAGACAGAGACTTAACTTTTGGTTGGAAAATTTCAGAATTGAGTGAAGAAAAAAATGTCAAACCCAAAGGTTTTCTTTGACATATTGATTGGGAAGATGAAAGCTGGCCGAGTAGTGATGGAACTATTTGCTGATGCCACCCCTAAAACTGCTGAAAACTTCCGTGCCCTCTGCACCGGAGAGAAAGGGCTTGGAATGGCCGGTAAGGCATTACATTACAAGGGCTCGAAATTTCACCGCATTATCCCGAACTTCATGTGTCAAGGCGGAGATTTCACGATGGGTAATGGGACTGGAGGAGAATCAATCTATGGACAAAAATTTGCGGACGAGAACTTCAAGCTGAAGCACACAGGGCCAGGAATTCTGTCGATGGCAAATGCTGGACCAAACACAAATGGATCTCAATTCTTCATCTGCACCAAGAAGACACCTTGGCTTGATGGGAAGCATGTTGTGTTTGGGCAGGTTGTGGATGGCCTTACTGTGGTCAAGGAGATGGAGAAGATGGGTTCTGACAGCGGGTTACCTTTATCACCGGTTGTGATCGAAGATTGTGGTCAGATAAAAGATAATTGATTTCGGAAAGATGAGGGGGAAGGCACTGACCAAGAAGTTGGAGATAAGCTGAAGCTTTACAGCTGATGGTATAATTAATATATCCTTTATAAAGAGCTATTGTTTAGCTTCTTTTTTAATGGAAAATTAGAACACGATTTCTGTAGAGATACTCCAAACTTGTCTTTTGCACCTTGTGTTTTGGATCTTTAATGTGGAAAATTATCTTACGTTCTTCTCAGATGTTTTGTTTGTTTGGTAAATAGCTGTATAAGCTCTTCTCTTGAATGATAATGGTATTTCTATTATATTCTGTTCCACATTTGATATGTAACAACTATCAAGGTCAAATGCCTCTTTAAGCAGACTTTTATATCTAATTGTGTATGAACTTACTTGTTTCACAGATTACCTATCTGAAAAAAGAAATTGATAAAAGAAAAATCGGTGATAATTCTTGTGTAGTACAAGAGTCCTATCTGAAAAAAGAAATTGATAAAAGAAAAATCGGTGATAATTCTTGTGTAGTACAAGAGTGGACGAAATATTCACTTGATACAGTCATTCAAGTCAGGAGTGCAGTGCTGTTCGAAAGTCCTGCGAATGCCTCTGGGGACTCTGCACGAGACTTTATTGCTCCATTCATGAAAAACAAACCGAACTGTTTTAGACCACTCTTATATGGGTTGTATATGTTCTATTAAGATGGGTCAGTCAATTCATTTGATTTTAATGTTTTTTTGAGGAACCATTTAGATTGATTTCCTCAACAGTATTAGGAACTTGTCAGAAATTCTGCACAAACAAGCAGATTTATAGTTTGTCATAAACTGTGTTCAGGATGTTCACGGTCCACTGAAAGCTCTGGAATTTGATGCTCTCAGTGCCTGCGTAAATGCAGATGCAAAAGCTATCCCAAACGAGCTCTGAGGCTGAGAACATATGGATAATTGAGTACCAAGACAAAAACATAGCAACCATACAACTTAGAAATTCCCAGGGACCAAAATCATTTGCCTCACACACAAAATTACATTCAATTTATCAAATATGGACAGAAATGGCTGGCAAAACCCTCCAAATATTTGTCAATGGGAGCCAAAGTTGCAGGTAATTGCATAAACAAACAAACGCGCATGACCTGAGAGATGCATATGGTTACCAACAAGCAGGACTAAGCACATTAACTTGGGATAAGTCGCGCATAACAGGTACCAGCCATAGGCTACATCATCTTGTCGATATACTATATAATGTAGCAAGGTGACATATAACAAACAGGTGAAACAGCCATGGCTTTTAGCGGCTGCTAAGTTTCTAAATATTAGAAAAACTACATGTAGATGCTGCAATAGCTATTCAAGTATACAATTGAATTGACAAACCAAATGCACAACACTTCGTGTTTGACCAACAAAAATGAACCTTAAATTTCAATCAAATTTCAACACACAGATCAGCCACCCCATACACGCACGGGGATATTAGCTTCAGCAGGATAGTGAACCTAGATATGCTAGCATAAAAGTATACAGTCAGATCATTCTTTTCTATAATGCACTTCTATAACTCAATTTAGTAATAATGTGTAATATGAACCTATTTTAGTTGGTAGGGCTGTTGTCTTCTCTACCTCCCAAAGTGAAACGTTGATACGGACAAAGTGGTAGTATGAATTACTTGCCAAGACTAGGAAGAAGGAAAAAATAAAAAATAAAAAAATCACTGTTGCAGAATATAAAATGAGCCTTACCAAGTGAGACAAGCACATTCTCAAAAGCACAAGTCTCATAAGGCAAGCATCCAGTCTTCAATGTATGCAGTTTCTAGGATTTTTAATCCGAGATTATCAGTACACCATAGGTCCATAACCGGTGGTTTGGGACAATCTTGATACCATTCTTAATATATAGTAAAAAAGAACGAAAAAAAAAAAACTGTAAAATGCTTCTTATCTATGTTACCGCTAAAGCCTTGTCTTGGAACACCAGACGAACCCCGAGTATCCAGAGAAACAGAAAATGCAAGAACCAGCAGTACAAAATTAAGACATGAAGCACTAAAATAAAACACTCAAGTTAAAAAACTGAATCAAACAACAATTCCAAGAAGTAAATGGAATGGAATAGACTATCCCATCAGGGGTATGAAATTATTGTGTAAAATCCGCACATCTTCGCAATCCTGGAATTTTAATATGCCCCGCAAATAATTTACCATACTAGAGATAAGGTGGCTCAGCCCCTGGCTTGGACTAGTACAATGCCTTACATGCAAGAATGCTACAATGTGTGTAAAAATTGTTCTGAAAATCGATGGATGAAAACAAAAAAAGCTTAACAAGAATAGCTAAAATCAATGGAAGCATCTAAAACAAATTAAACCCTAACATAAGACAACCATTTCGATCTGTGTTGATAGCTTAGGTACCAGAAGTTCAAAATCGATACCTTTCCAGACTATAAAAGAACACTAATTCTCATATTAAGTCTCTTAAGGAGTATCAGAATAACCTATCCAGCAATGCTAGCTTGTGATACAGGAAAAATCTTAATCCATACTAACACTGCAAGGAATGCTAATCAATAAAAATGTAAAGAATCAATGCGTTAATTTTTTTATTTTTCCAGTTCAAGCAAGCAAACCACAAATTGAAGCATTCCAAAGTCAACCGAAAATGGGAGTCATTTCCATTTCTTTTCTTTAAAGCACCTAAATATCCATGTTAAGAGAGTTCCATCCAAATTATACTGCAAACAATTGCTTAAATTGTCTCGAGTTTAACCGATACTCGGTTAATCACAAAATCTTTTTTGTTGACATCTATATACATCAGCCAACATATAATCTAAGTAGAAAACAGCATTTCCAGACTAAAAATTCAAAATGCTTATCAAGCAAGTCTGTCGACTGAAGAATTGAAAACGGAAATTCTAATGGTGAAAAAGGAAGATGATGTACAAATGGTAAGCCACTATAAAAATTTCCAAAAGGTAATACCCCATTATATAAATCAAATGCAACAGAGCAACATGCACTACCTAAAATCTTACATTTATATTATTCATGTAATCTATTTATAAAACAAAAGAGTACCTAAAATATAAGTTTTGGGTACATGTCAATACATTACAACTCCAAAAAATGTACCTAAAAATTTATCTACTTGACTCCTGGTAAAAGCTATATAAGATTGCGACGAAAAGAGCCATTTTCAACAACTCAACAAGAAGAAGAAGCATCCCTGTAAATGGCATTAAAATGGTACCCCTCACATTTGAGTTATGAGTTCCCACCAATAATTATGAAAATTTAACATGATTTGCATCAATAAATCAGATCAAAATCTCATTATCAGCCACTTTAATCAGTCACTCCCAATCTTCATCACTTAACTGGTCTTCAATGTCATCTTTTGGTGGCCTAACCACCAACACCACTGTCCCTAAACTCTCCTTCACCCCCAATTCCTTCAATGCTGTCCCCCTTTCCACCTTCAACCCACTGCCATCCACCGCCACCAGATAGAACCCGTCGTTCGCCACCACCTCCTTCCTCCCCCTATCGGCCACCACCATGATAGCCTCCTCCTTATACCACCTATTCACCTTCCAAGGCAAAACCCTGGCATCTGGAAATGCCACCGCGACCCCTCCTCTCTTCAATTTCGCCACCGGCTCCCACCCAGGCAACACCACCCACCTCCTCCACGCCTTCTCTGCCGCCACCACCCCGAATTCACCCCCGCTCCCACACTCCCATGGCGCCTCCACCACCTCCTTCTCCCTCTCCTCCGCCTTGCACACAGGCAGCACAGCCACCACCGTGGACTCCGCCACCTCTCCAACCTTCATCCTCACAACCGGAACCCGAACCACAGCCTCCACCCCCACTTCATCCCCCTCCTTACCACCACTCTTCCCCGCCAAATCCTCCAACACCCTCTTCCTCGCATTCTCCGACACCGCCACCTCCAACGCCTGCTTCAACGCCGCCGTCCTCTGGTCCGACGGATTCCGATGCTCCAAAGCTTGCCTATAATACATAAACGACAGACAATCTCCAGGGAGCTCGTAATCGAAGCTCTCCCAACCCCGGTCGCCGCGGCGACGAGGGAAGTCCTTCATGGAGCGTGCCAGGTCCTGAGCCTCCTTGGCGTCGAGAAGATTGTTCTCGACGAGGAAACGCGCGGCGGCTTCGCGTTGCCTGGCGCTCAGGAGGCGTATCTCATAGAGCAATTCGGCACCGCCGGTTTCGAAAAACGAGAGGGTCTGTGGGTCAGCTTGGGATTGAATCAATGAATCGCGTACCTGGGCTGCGACGACGAGGCAATTCTGTTCGACGCCGGAGATTCCGGTGAGCTCTTCGATGGTGGAAGGACAGAAACCTTCTTGGGCGAGAGAGGGGATGAGAGGGGCGTACTCGAACCAGAGGCCGAGACGGTTGGCGAGGATTTCGATGCGGCCATTGGTGTCGAGGGAGCGGAATTGGGAGGGAAGAGGGGGAGGAGGAGGGCGGAAAGGTTGGTAGAATTGCTGCTGTGGAGAGGAATTTGGCGGGGATGGTTTGAGAGTGGCTGAGATGGGTTTTGAGAGTTGGGATTTGTGGGAGGGTGGGTGGTGGTGGTGGTGGTGGTGGTGGTGGTGGTGGTGGGTGAGAGGGAGTGGGTGGTGGAGGGGGAGGAAGGTGGAGGAGAGGAGGGTTTTGGCGGCGTTTGGAGTGAGAGAAAACATTTGTGGAGGAGTGTGGAGGTTAGTGGAGGGAGGGAGCCTTATCTGCTAACTGATATGCTGATATTTAGAGAGAGAGAAAGGTTTAGCTGAGCTCACAAGGTAGATGAGAGACACAGGAGATGGGAAAATCTAGATTTGGGCTTGACAGTGGTTTGGGTTTTTGTCAATTTGGGAGGAAATATGGAATGGATTGGAAGGCCCAATAAGGATCAAATGAGGATTCAATGTTTGCTTATACAAATAAGACTTATTGGATCAACTAGATTTATATTGAATTCGTCTCGTGAGCATAACGGCGTTGGGAGGGATTCAAGAGAAGTAAGTTCTTAAGGTCTCGTTTTTGAATTGCACTTCTAACTTGAATGGTGCGTGTATTATGGAGCCGATACACATGCTACAAGGGAAAAAAAAAAAAAATAAATATATATATATCGAATTTGTTTAACTTAAGGTCTCGTTTTTGAATTGCACTTCTAACTTGAATGGTGCGTGTATTGTGGAGTCGATACACATGCTGTAAGGAAAAAAAAAAAAAAAAAAAAAAATTTATCGAATTTGTTTAACAAACAAATTATCATATTGAATCTTAACGGATTACTAGATTGAATATTCTAATTCATATCCTAATTATTTTGGATTGATTTTTTTCTAAAAAATCATATCTGTTTACATGTTTAATTATAAGATTAGGTAGAGTGGGGAGTTCTTAATATATTGAATGGTGCAATATATAACTAGGGAACCAATTGAATCTAATGACAAATAATTAAAATATATGAATTTAATAGTAAATAATTAATATATATTACATATATAGTATATTATAATTATATATATATAAATTTTACTCTGATTGGATTACTTTTAATCCATATTTGATTTGTTAAAATAATTGTTATCTAATTCGAATCATTATTAGATTATCTGATTTTTTTATTAAATCTATATCCAGATAATCGGATCAGATTTCGATTAAAATCCGATAAATTATATGTCTACAAATAAGTGGATCCGGTAAATAGCAAAGTGATAAGCATTTGGGTTTTGAAAGAAAACATATGGACAAACAAAATACCACACAATCACAATATGTTCTTAGCAAGATTCGAACTCTTAAAAAATATAAAAATATAAAATAAATCCGATAAGAGAGATACTGCCAACCGGGCTATTTTACATAGAAATTTGATGCATGATGTGTGTATTCAAAATAAGATGATTTTTGATGTGTTTTAAATTTCAAAATTTCCACTTCAGTTTATTTTTGTTGTGAAAGATATATATATATATATATATTTATATTTTTTTTTCCCTTGTTCGGGGGCCATTTTTTGTGTAATTGTAAAAAAAAAAATTGGGCAGTGTTTGGATTAGGAAAGTTAGACAGAAATTTAAATGAAAGGAGTTATAGTTTATCTTGTGTTTGTTTAGAGGGAGAATCCATTAAATGGTGCTTTGGCTATCTATCATAATTATTATTTTTCCTTTATTTCTAATGATAAAAAATTTGGATTCGCCGTTGCCGGGGATCGAACCCGGGTCACCCGCGTGACAGGCGGGAATACTTACCACTATACTACAACGACATTTTATGAGTACGCATATATACCTATAATAAATCATAAAGATACAAACTTTAGTGAGGTTGCCAATATTTTCCAAAGGTGACACAGAAGTTTGAAACCATGAAAAGTTGAAAACTTTCCCCAACCAAAAGGGGAAAAAAAAAATTGGAAATTCATTTTTTTCAGCTGTTTTTAGAAAACTATTTTATTAATATTAAAATATTTGTTTTCAAATAGTATCACAAAAACTCTAATTTATTTTTATTTTCGAAGTATTTGAAAATATTTTTTTAGATAAATCAACATGGCCTTATATTCTTGAATTTTGATCTAAATTCGATCCAATAACTCGGATATGAATTGAATATTTAATCCAATAACCCGTTAATGATCTGAATCTGATAATTCGTTAGTTAAACAAATCAAATATGAATTATGGTCGATTCGATCTGAAATAATTTATTATATAATATGTTAAACATATATAATCTAATTTTATAATATATATACTAATATTTATATATTGTCAAAATATTCTTATCATTATTTCTTCCTCCTCTCCTGCGTACTCTATTTTTTTCTTATTCCAAAGTTTTTATTCTAAAACAAAGAGTAAAAGATCTAATTTTCTTTTTTCATATTTTATTTATCTTTATTTATTTTTTATTATTCTCTTTTCACATTAATTTTATTTTACCAAAAAAAGAAGTACACACCCCCCTTATCCAATCGGACCGGATTATCAGATTGGATATCCATTTGTTAACAAATCAAATATGAATTGATTCTCACAAAATATCCATCGAATTATCAAATCAAGTATCAGATTCAGATCGGATCAGCCCTGATCTGACCAATCTACTTATGATAGGTGCCCTAATTGCACAACTGTTTTCAAACATCAAACTGGATCTTCATATGGACATATTAAGCAGTGCCAAGAATCAAGCCAATTGTCTACAAAGACAAGTGCAGAGAGAGAGAGGTATAGAGTAGAGGCATAGGAGAAACATTTGATTACAATTATTGTGCAACTTGAATCCTTGAAGGCATGGATTTCAAATAGCTCTTACATATAGTTATCTGAAATTCACACACATAATTCTCACAAATCCATCAAATTATATTTCTCACACAATTGAACCTAAATTTATTTAAAATCCTCCAATTCACATGGAACCTTATAACTAACTTCAAATCACGGAGACCCTAGAAGGAACTATATACGGTTGCATATACAAGATAAGGAAGGAAGACGATGCATAACTACGTCTCTAGCTCCTTTTAAGAGCAGCAGCTGCACTATACCTGTGCAAAATCATATCGGTGCATCTCTAATAAATTCTTCCTTTTGGATTTTCTGCGGGACTGTTACTAATTCTTGCTTTTACTCGTCTCTGGATGATGCGAAGGCTATTTGAGCTCAAGTTTGGCTCTTGGACAGAGAAATTTTCTTCTCCCTGAGAATGCATGGAATTTATGATGGACCAAGCGCTCTCAATGCCGCAACAAAAATCTGGATTTTAAAGGATGGAATCAGTAAAGTAAATAATTTAATATAAGTACCAACATTCCAGCAATGTGACAGTACAGTATTGAAGTTACTAGGAAAGAAAAGGCAAGCCATCCTTGGTAAACTGCCTCTTGACATCAAATGATGTCGTTTTCCTTCATTATTAAGAAGGCGGGTTTTGCTTATTTATTTGTTTATTTTTATGATTATTATTACTAATACTATAGACATTATTATTGGTGCTCTAAAGATGGGAATGATGCCAATTTCTGAAATTTGAGATCATTATTCCCCTAGTATAAAATGTAGCACACTTTCTCGAAAAAATGAGTATCAAAGTTGGAGGAGAGAGTTATTGACAGCTAGTAGAAGATACCAACCTTAATTTTAGGTGGAACTTGGTCAGGTCTAACTCGGACAACCCAAGCCCAACCCGAAAATTTGGTGAACTTGGATAGAATATTTGAGATCTCGGGATTGGGCTTGGATTTAAATTTCAAAGGACAAATTCTTTTAGAACGGGACTTGGGCAATGGTTTCCTCCAACTGAATAGGGCCAAAAAAAAAATTACAAAGTTTTAAGACTATCAATGCTAGTCCTATAACTGATGTTAAACTTGCATGTTTTACTTTATGGTCACATTTATTACCGATTTTAGAACATGTAAACAAGTTTTGTTATAGTTGTAAATTATTGTGGTTTGGTTGATTTTATTATGAATTCTTACGACATGATATGCACAGTTTCATTAAAGTTACATATACATGGTTTTAATGTTTAATGCTTACGCTTTAACATGTTCTTTTTTTTTTCTTTATACTTTTTGTTGAAAATTCTGTTTGTTAGCATGCTATATTCACCTAGTTAACTTGTTTGATCAGCTTAGATTTTTTTGAAATTTGGGCAACCTGAATAACAACATGAGGTACTCGCACAGGATGGCACGAGCTGAGTGGTGTGCGCTGAGGGGTCAGCACCTTGGCTTGGAGCAGGCTGACTCTGCCCAAGTATGACCGCCCCTACTTAATTTAACCACCCTCATGTACAGCACATGCGTCAAACTTTTAAGTACCTTTATTTTTATTTATTACTTTTTAAAATTTGATAGGCAAGCAGGTGAATAAGCTCAAGCAAAGACTAGAGCACATCTGTGGCAAGCATTCCTAAGTTCCTAACTAATGTCTCTCACTGGGTGGTGAGTCATTTAATTAGCGTTAAGTTTTTTTTATTGGTAGGTTCAGCACTAAGACATTAAAACGTTAAGGATCATCACTATTTGCTTCCAATAGTGGGGTGGTGTAAAAGAAGGCTCTAGAGGTGGATGGATCAAAGGAGCTAGGAATCTTGCGTAGGTGGTCTTACAAATAGCATTATGAAATGATGGGGGGAGCTTTTCACATTCCATTACTTTGTGGTGGAAAGATCAGGGTCCCATATGATGTGTGGTGTGATAATGCAGATTTAAGTCACGGGATTTCTGATGTTTTCTGTATCTCAAGGGATAAGGAAGCACCTAAGGTGGAGTGCATTGCATTTTTTGAAGCAGAGTGTTGTGAGGGGTTGAGGGTTGGACCAAGTGATTTTTGCTAGAGATACTTCAGTATGTGAGGATTAGAGATGAGGTAGAGGTGGTAGATGTATAGAATTTCCTTGGAAGAGTATATCGCCTACAAAGGGTACCCTAAAGGTTCCTTTGCTTGAAAGACCGCTTTGGAGGCAATTATTCCCATCAATAATCTGAAGGGTAGAGGATAGCCAACAATCAACACATACCGCTGGCCTGTTGCACCCCAAGGTAAATGCAACGTGAAAGATTTCTAATTGTGATTTCTTGTATTTTTCTATTTTTTGCATTATGACTGCTCATATTTTCTGCATGCCACTCATTTAAAGGTTCAGCTAGCATATATAGAGGAAGGTTAGTGGGGGCAAACTTCTATTCCCTTCACTTTTATACCCCATCTGGTTGTCTGTTGGCCTAATCATGCCCTTCTTGTGCCCACATTGTACATCATTGCTGCCTACTAATAAAATTAATGTTACCTATTTTAATGCCTAGTTCCTCACTTGTTGGCTAGCTATGTGTGTGAATTTAAGGTAAACCTCATTGGTGGGCTTGCTTGTGAGCAAATAAGACAAGAGCTATACAACTCCTCTCTTGTGCCTATAAAAGTCCACTGTGACACCTAGTTATGCAATTCACTGGTGCAACACATTTTCCCAGAGAACATGGAAAAAGAAGACTATGGGAAAACATAAAAGAAAATGAATGTAATAGCTGCAGATAAGATAAGAGGCCACAACTGACGTTAAACTTACATGTTTTACTTTATGGTCACATTTATAATACCGGTTTTAGAACATGTAAACAGGTTTGGTTATAGTTGTAAATTATTGTGGTACATCATAGTTTGGTTGATTTTATTACGAATTCTTACAACATGATATGCATAATTTCATTAAAAGTTACGTATTATTGGTTTTAATGCTTCATGCTTACGCTTTAGCATGTTCTTTTTCATTTTGGTTGAAAAATCTGTTTGTTAGCATACTATATTCACCTAGGTAACTCTTTTGATCAGCTTAGATTTTTTGAAAGTTTGGGCAACCAGAAGGACATGAGGTACTCGCACAAGACGGCACGAGTTGTCTTGGGTCTTGGGCATGGTGTGGGCTAAGGGGTCATCACCTTGGGTTGGCGCAGGCTGACTCTGCCCGAGTACGACTCCCCTACTTAATTTAACCACCCACATGTACAGCACATGCATGAAACTTACCTTTATTTTTATTTATTTCTTTTAAAAATTTGATAGGCAAGACTTATCAAAAAAAGAAATTGATAGGCAAGCAGGTGAATAAGCTCAAGCAAAGACGAGAGCATGTCTGTGGCAAACGTTCCAACCTCATGTCTCTCACTATCCCATTATTGGTTGTGAGGAAATTAAAATATATATATATATATATTCAGAGGGTTTGCCTATGGGGCTGAGTGGTGAGTCATTTAATTAGCATAAGTTTTTTTAATTGGTTAAGGGTGGAGGTTTAGCCCAAGGCATTAAAAAGTCAAGGATCATCAATATTTGCTTCAAATAGGGCGTGTGTGTGTGTGTGTGTGGTGTGTGTGTGTGTGGTGGTCGGGGGGGGGGGGGGGGGGGGGGGGGGGGGGGGGGGGGGGGGGGTTGGTTAGGTATAAAAGAAGGCTCTAGAGGTGGATGGATCAAGGGAGAGAGGAATCTTACGCAGGTGGTCTTACAGATGGCATTATTAAATGATGGGGGATCTTTTTGCATTCCATTACTTCTTGGTGGAAAGATCAGGGTCCCATATGATGTATGGTCTGATCATGCAGATTTAAGTCACAGGATTTCTGATGTTTTCTGTATCTAAAGGGATAAGGATGCATCATCTATGGCGGAGTGCATTCCATTTTTTGGAGCAGAGTGTTGTGGGTGTTGTGAGGGGTTGGGGGTTGAACCCTAAGTCACAGAATTCTTCTAAATTGATGTCGCTTTCACGCTTTGTGCCACTCCCGCTCCCACTCTCGCTCCGATTCCTATTCTGTATGACTTAAATTTTTTTGCTTTCCCGCTCCCGCTCCCGCTCCCGCTTTATGTGACTTAGGTCAACTTGGACCAAGTGATCTTTGCTAGAGATACCTCAGTATGTGAGGATTAGAGATGAGGTGGAGGTGGTAGATGTATAGAATTTCCTTGGAAGAGTATATGGCATATAAAGGGTCCCCTAAAGGTGGATTCCTTTGCTTGGAAGACCGCTTTGGAGGCAATTCTTACCATCAATAATCTGAATGGTAGAGGATAGCCAACAATCAACACATACCACTGGCCTGTTGCACCCCATGGTAAATGCAACGTGAAAGATTTCTAATTGTGATTTCTGGTATTTTTCTATTTTTTGCATTATGACTGCTCATATTTTCTGCATGCCACTCATTTAAAGGTTTGGCTAGCATATATAGAGGAAGGTTAGTGGAGCAAACTTCTATTCCCTTCACTTTTATACCCCATCTAGTTGTCTGTTGGCCTATGCATGCCCTTCTTGTGCCCACATTGTACATCATTGCTGCCTACTATTAAAATAAATGTTACCTATTTTGATGCCTAGTTCCTCACTTGTTGGCTAGCTGTGTGTGTGAATTTAAGATAAACCTCATTGGTGGGCTTGCTTGTGAGCAAACAAGACGAGCCACACAACTCTCTCTTGTGCCTATAAATGTCCACTGCGACACCTAGTTATGCAATTCACTGGTGCAACACATTTTTCCCGAGTACATGGAAAAAGAAAAGTATGGGAAAACATAAAAGAAAATGAATGTAATAGCTGCAGATAAGATAAGAGGCTGCATATTTACTTGGGGGGGAAGGAACTATAAGAGAATGCATACCTTAGAAGAAGCCCCAGGATGCCGGCCTAGTTCTGCGTGAGGATATCCTTTGTGGTTACTTCTATTTCCTTCATACTCGGAGCAACCACTTTGCTCTTTTTCACGCCAAACCTTAGTGCCCACTTTATCTGCTGCCGCATTATCTTCAGCCAAAGATTTGCTTTTTCTCTGATCCATTCTTCTAAAATCATTGTTATTTCTATTCGCAATAACGTTAGTTTGAAATTTCTGGTCTTTCTTTGAGAACTGTGTCGCTGCTGCACGTGCACCAGCTATGGCCGCGCTGAGACTTGATGATTTCTCCACTTCAGATGATTTAGAGTCAAGGAAGTGAGCAGAAATCGATCCTGGCTTCAAGGAAAAAGGATCTCGTGGATTTGGAAGTGGAAACTTTACTGGTAGTGGACTTTCAACTGGAACAAGAGCTCTCACTGCAGCCTCATATATCTGTGACAGTTACATGGAGAAGAAGAGCATAAGTCGAATACTAGAACAAACACACTTGTACACGCACAGGAATGCCAAATTTTAAGCTCCATGAATACCTTCCTTTCCATGTCATAAACGCCTTGATATCCTCGCATCTCAAGTGGATCTGATAATCTCTGCATTGGTTAGGGAAATGATTCAATCACCGTCAAAATATATACATACACGTGTATACTTATGGAACATGGAAAATATTGAACTGAAACATATAGCAGTTTACGGTACAAAAGTACATACTTGTGGCTGTTCACATAACCAGCAAAATTTTGTTAGTCCTTCTAGCCTCACCTGCAGTGGGAGAAATGGTCAAGATTACGGTCAACAAATATAAAATAGCATGTTGATACAGATGAAATAACCAAGGGCCTAACCCAAGTGATATGTCGTCCTCCTCCCTCATGAAAGGTTGAGGGTTCAAGTCCCATTGGGACAATAGTGGGAGTGTTTCTTGGGTGTGTGTGTCTTACCTATTAATATATATATATAGACTATATGAAATAATATTGTCTTGTTTATATATAGATAAGAAACAGAATAAGCTCTTGGTTGCCCACCCCTTCAGGAACCTCCTTCCAGCACTCTAGTTCCTCACTTCTAACACAGCCAACCACTTCAATGCAACCTGTGTTTTGGACCAAACCATTCTGAGTTAGTAGAACATTTATGCTATATCTGTAAACACATGCACACACCAGATATATACTCCTAGTTTCAGAGGTTTCCTATTGAAAATCTACTCTATAGTTTTTCTAGTTTTTAGCATAAGTTCCAAAATGAGAGCATAAGAGCAAGCGTATTCATGATTCAGATATGGAAAATCCTTGACAGTCAAAATTTTCAATACTACTTTAGTACTCCATCAATTATTCAACTGCAAAAGGGACCCATCAAATAAAATCAACCCAGTCCAAGAACATCCACCCAACCAGATTGACCAATTTGCACCCAAATTGGGTTAACGTCTGATCAAAATCAAAGTAAGATATACTACTATTAACAGGAGACACCAATAAACTTCAACGCATTCTGATTGAGGTATAGTGCCCATGTAAGCACCTTTGCTACATAGGCACCACCAAGATGTCAGCAAAAATGATATCACCAGTAAGTGAGTATAAAATAAGGCATAGCTCTATGACAATGCAAAAATTACAACTCAAAAGTTTTTTGCTTGTTTTATTTAGTACAAATAAATAAAAGAATATAGACATGTTCTCAATTCTAATCCCCCTCCCCCCCCCCCCCCCAAAAAAAAAATAATAATAATAATAATAAAAATAAAATAAAACAAAACATATAACAAAAAAAATAAAAATAAACCCTTCTCGAAAAGGTAAAGACACAGTGGGAGGAAAAAAAAAAAAAAAACCATACAAATGTTCTATCAACACATTTTAAATATAAAAGGGAAACAAAAACATAAAGGACTTAGTGATTTCCAGAACCATATTACATCAGAAATTTTAAGATGAAATACCTAATAGTCTTGAAACTGGATAATGCTCTGGAAACTTGAGATCAGTAATTCCATCGACTGCATAGATTTCCCTGTAGAAATCCTCCATTGCTTTAATGGTAGAATTCTCTGGAACCTTACCAGCAGCATGAATCCAAAGCCGGCCTTTGAAAGACAAGATTTTATACATTTCAAACCAACTTTCACAAAGAACCAAATAATTACAACCTGAGCTAGATGAAAGAACAAAATAGTAATAATATGTTGAATTTGCATACTGAATAATTACATGCTTGGCTAGATGAAGTGACCAAGTAACTTGCTCACCACAAAGAACCACATTGGTAATATTTGACAAATTCCATTTTTTATTCCAAGTACAATCATGGGGAAATTGGAGGCCACATCTAATTAAAGGAGCACAACAGGATTACATTGGATTTTAATTGAGCTTCATGTATTATTATAGGGTTTAAATGACTTCACTTGTTTTTCTTCTTAATATTAAAATATGTAATTCACATTTTATGGGCGACTCTGATTATATTATGTTTGGATCCGTGATGCATTTATTTTGCATTACAAAACTGTCAGCCAAGATACCATGAAATGCAATGAATCAATAGAATGTTCATTGGAATCCACAAAGCATCCCCTTAAGCCATGTGTTCCAATCCATAACTGAAAATGGAACTCTAATATTTCTTTTATTTGCTAATAAAGAGATCAATAAATGAGTAATCATACTAGCAGTAGAAATATATAAAAAGAAGAGAAAAGAGAGAATTGCGTGAAGGTTTGAATGATATGAATTACTCATTCACAGCTCTAGTATTTATAGATAAAATGAGCACATGCTCATATTACAAGAAATGAAACTAAATCAAATCAAAATCAAATCACAACTTATTCTAAAGCATATTCTATGACATATTCTATAGCATAGTCAACTCTCTGCTATTATGGTAAGTCATACCATAAATCGTGGTATCATATATATGCTATTATATGCATAGTCAAATCTCTGCTATTATGGTAAGTTATTCCATAAATCGTGGTATCATAAATGCTAACACTCCCCCTCAAGTTGGTGCGTGGATATCTGAAACGCCTAACTTGGACAATGCATTCTCAAACACAATCTTGCTGACGCCCTTTGTAAGAATGTCTGCAAGCTGCTGAGAGCTTGTGACAAATGGAGCGCAAATTTGACCAGAGATGATCTTCTCTTGAATGAAGTGACGGTCCACCTCTATATGCTTAGTCCTGTCATGCTGAACGGGATTTGCTGCTATGCTAATGGCAGACTTGTTGTCGCAGTAGAGTGAGAATGGAAGTGACACTGGAAGGCACAAGTCTGTCATCAAGGTTTTCAGCCAAAGCAACTCACCTAACCCAAGAGCCATAGCCCTATACTCTGCCTCTGCACTAGATCGAGAGACAACATCCTGCTTCTTACTGCGCCAAGTAACCAAGTTACCACCAATAGTGGTACAATAACCTGAAGTAGACCTCCTATCTGAAATTGAACCTGCATAATCAGCATCTGTCCAAGCCTCAACACGTAAGTGACCATGATTAGCAAACAAAATACCACGGCCTGGACACCCTTTTAAGTAGCGAAGAATCCGAATAGCTGCATCAAGGTGTGGGGCACGAGGAGAGAGTGCATGAATTGACTCACGACACTCACGGCATAAGCAATGTCAGGTCGAGTCATGGATAAATAGATGAGCTTCCCCACAAGTCGTTGATACTGACCAATATCTGACAACAACTCCCCCTCAAAATCAGCCAACCGATGATTCTGCTCAATCGGAGTATCAGCAGGACGAGCGCCAAGCTGACCAGAAGTAGAAAGCAAGTCAAGAACATACTTGCGTTGAGAGATGAAAATGCCAGTCTTGGAGCGAGCCACCTCAATGCCCAAGAAGTACCGTAGGGGACCAAGATCCTTAATCTCAAACTGACGGCCAAGATAGCTCTTAACCTCATTAATTCCGGTAGTATCATCGCCGGTAAGAATAATATCATCGACATACACAATGAGAGCAACTGTCTTACCGCCTAAATGACGTAAAAACAAGGTATGATCAGCTGCACTTTGATGGAAACCAAACTTGAGCATAGCAGTGCCAAAGCGATCAGACCAAGCTCAAGGAGACTGCTTGAGGCCATATAGAGAACGACGAAGACGACATACCATACCAGAATGAGCAGGAGAACGAAAGCCCGGAGGAGGAACCATGTACACCTCCTCCTGCAAATCACCATTAAGAAAGGCATTCTTGACATCTAACTGAAATAGAGGCCAAGATCGAATCGCAGCAACGGAAAATAATACACGGATGGTATTCATCTTGGCAACAGGGGCAAAAGTCTCTTGATAATCTATGCCATAAGTCTGAGCATAACCTTTGGCAACCAATCGGGCCTTGTAACGAGCAACTAACCCATCTGGATTATGCTTAACTATAAACACCCAACGACAACCCACAGCCTTTCGTCCAATAGGAAGCGGAACCATGTCCCAAGTCTGATTTTTCTCAAGTGCTTGTAGTTCTTCTGTCATAGCATCACGCCATTGAGGTTGTGTTAGTGCATCTGCAACACTGGAAGGAACAGAAACCGAGGCAACAGAAACAAGAAAACTCCGATAGGAGGGTGAGAGAGCATAATCAAAAACAAAATTAGAAATAGGGTAAGTACAAGAACGTTTATCCTTTCGAAGAGCAATGGGGCGATCATAAAGCGAAACAATAGCTTGAGAAGGCGGAGCTGGTGCCGAAGGAACGGGGCAGTTAATCGTGGGAGTAGAAGCTTGTACCTATTGTCTCCGACTATAAACCTATGAAAAAGGAACAATTCCCCTTGCTGGAGGGGTATCACAAGGAGGAATTATAGACGAAGAAACAGATAATGGTAGAGGAGTTGAAGACGGAAGAAGGTGATCATCCATTATATTCAATGGGAACCATTCACTCTGAGAACCAACTGAACTACTATAGTATGGTGTATGCTCAAAGAAAGAAACATCCATGGATATAAACCGCCGACGACTGGGAGGATGGTAACACCTATAACCTTTTTGAGAGTGAGAATAGCCCAAAAATACACACTTCAAAGCCTTGGGGTCAAGCTTTGTACGAGTTTGCCCCAACTGCTGAACAAAGCACACACACCCGAAGACTCGCGGAGGAATCAAAAATAGAGATGAATTGGGATGTAAGATTGAGAGTGGGGCTGCAAAGTTAAGAATCCTAGAAGGAGTCCTATTAATGATGTAAACAGCGGTAAGAACTGCATCTCCCCAAAATGACTGGGGAACATTCATGCCAATGCAGACTGCTCTGGCTGAGTCAAGGATGTGATGATTCTTTCTCTCAGAACGACCATTTTGTTGAGGAGTTTTAACATTAGCCAGCTGATGCTCAATCCCAAATTCTGTACATAACCGTTGTACCTCTCCATAAGTGTACTATGTACCCTGGTCAGATCGGAATTTTTTAACGGTACGACCATATTGAGTCTGAACCATTATCATAAAATTTTTAAAAATGGTGTATACCTCATTTTTGGTTTTCATAAGATAAACCCAAGTAACACGACTATGATCATCAATGAACAACACGAAATATCGAAATCCAAGACTAGAAGTAACTGTGCAAGGACCCCACACATCTGAATGAACAAGATCAAAAGGTGTTAAAGCAGATTTATTACTACTAGCAGGATAATTGGAACGAACATGTTTAGCCATATGACATGTTTCACAGGACAAATCTAACACTGCCACGTTGCAAAATAAAGAAGGAAATAAATGTTTCAAATAACCAAAAGAAATATGTCCTAAACGCATGTGCCAACGCATAAGCTAGGCTTTATTAGATGAAACAATATTAGAAAATGAAGCTGAATGTGCTTGAGGTGACAAAGGAGCATCCAATAGGTATAAACCGTCCACTTCACGCCCACTGCCAATTGTCCGTTTCGACACCAGATCCTGAAAAATATAATGAGAGGGAAAGAACGTTACACTACAATTTAATTGTTTGGTAACGCTACTAACGGAAATAAGATTTGTAGTCAACTTTGGAATATGAAGTGTATTTGACAAAGTTAATGAAGGAGTAACTGATATTTGACCTTTCCCAGCAATGGACGATGGAGAGCCATCCGCAAGGCGGACCTTGCGTTAGCTAGAGCAAATACTATAAGATTGGAAGAGTGAGGACATACCAGTTTGAAGCACCAGAATCAATGATCCATGGTGTTGAAGATGTAGATACGATATGTGTAGACGCAATAGTACCTAAGTGGGCATAAGTGGAGGTTGGCTGAGATGATGCCTCCATTTGGTTGAAGAATTGCTTGAACTTGTCCAAATCAGCTTGAGTTAAGGTAACTGTGGCAGAAGATGTAGAGGCAGGGTTGTCAGGAGTTGACAACGAGACTGGTTGTGTAACAGAATGTATAGAGGATCGAGGCTATTGTTTCTGTTGCGGTGGACGTCCATGTAGAGCATAACAATGAGATTTGATGTGACCAATTTTTCCGCAATAGTCACACCGTCCACGTTGTCGTCCCAGAGGAGGACCGGTGGTAGTGCTCTGAACTGATTGGGATGGTGAAGTTCCTGAAAGGTTGGGAATCCGAACTGCCATAGCAAAATGATAAACAGAAGCAACACCTAATGGATGAGTCCGACAGCTCTCATCTGACAACACATAGGAATATGCATCCTCAAGAGTAGGGAATGAAGATAAGCCCAATAAATGAACACGAGCATACTCAAACTCGTCGTTCAACCCAGCAAGAAACTGAAACACTCGATTCTTCTCCACAATTCCTGCATATAAAACTGCATCATCCGGATCCTTCCAAGAGTGGAAGGAATCATAATATGACATCTCCCAAATAGCACGAAGCGTGGCGATGTAACCTGAAACTGTCAATTCACTCTGAGAAATCCTGGTGATATCTCGCCCCAGTTGGAAAATTCGTGCATTATTCTGCCTATGAGAACAAGTGCGTTGAACTGAATCCCAAATCTGCTTGGCAGTCTTCATAAACATATAGCCAACAGCTATGTTTGGTTGCATCGAATTGACTAGCCAAGACATAACCATAGCGTTATCTGCAAACCACTGTGGATATGCCTTCTCTGACTCAGCTAGCTCTTTCTCAGAACCAGTAATATAGCCAATCTTGCCTTTGCCACCAATGAACATCTTGGCAGACTGTGCCCAAATCAAATAGTTGAAACCATCCAACTTCACTGTGGTGATTTGAAGTCCTGGATTTTCTGATGAGTTGGTGGGAAAAATGGCACCACCACCCACAGAATGTGAGCCAAGAGAATTAACAGTCGAGGACCCTGAATCTGCCATAATCTGTCACACGACAATAAAAAGAACTCCAAAAAACACCACAAATTCTGTTAATAAATCAAAGGGTCTCCTCAGACCATTAACAATGTCTCCTCAGACCATTCCCGAAAAATTCAAATACATACCTTTTTTTAAGGAGCGCTGCCCACTTACATATAGCCAGACAGCCTCCTTCTTAATATTCAGAACCTCTTTCTAAACTAATTCCCAAGCCCTTCTAGGTGTTAGAAACCAACTATCCCAATTTACCCAATCCTAGAACAGTGAAAAAGAAATTGTAAAACTTAAAAATACCTATTTTCGATCACAAAACAGCAACACAGAAAAACATGTATAGGCAACGTCACACGATGTCACAAACAGCCTAAGGTAGCTGTCGCACAAGTAGCAAGACTGCTGAAAAGTGTGGAAAGGTGTTGGCTCTGATACCAAGTAAAAATATATAAAAAGAAGAAAAAAGAGAGAATTGCGTAAAGGCTTGAATGAAATGAATTATTCATTCACAGCTCTAGTATTTATAGATAAAATGAGCACATGCTCATATTACAAGAAAAGAAACTAAATCAAATCAAAATCAAATCACAACTTATTCTAAAGCATATTCTATGGCATATTCTATAGCATAGTCAACTCTCTGCTATTATGGTAAGTCATACCATAAATCGTGGTATCATATATATGCTATTATATGCATAGTCAAATCTCTGCTATTATGGTAAGTTATTCCATAAATCGTGGTATCATAAATGCAAACACTAGCTGACACAAATTTATAGTATTCCTCGTCGCTTCAGAAATTGCAAAAATTAAAACAATATGGAAATGTATTAAAACATTAAATTTAGCAACACCAAAATGCTTCAACATCATAGTATTGCACCACTTTTGAATTTAAAATTCACCCCAAAACAGAAGTTTGCAAAGTTTGTAAAGATATGGTAACTCAAACCTTTCCCAACATCAAAATGTCTGTTCTATCCTATAAGGCTTAACCTGCTGACCTACCCAAGCGAGCGAGACAGAGAAAGAGGAACAAACCTTTTGCAGAGTTCACCCTTGCAGGTCTGAATTGAAAGTAAGACATCTATCAAACACTCATTAACAAATCTATTACAGTTGAAGAATATTAGACCTCAAAACCCTTTTTAAACGTGATGCTCTGCCAGCAGAGATATCACCTATATGTACTCGCATTAAATAGATCTATTTATAATATAGAGCATAACACTTAAATTTAATCTTCTATACTGCAAACCAAGGTTTAGACTAAATTAAATTCCTCCACTATATTTCATCGGTCTTCTTATACCTAATTTTATTTTTCCTTCTCCAGCACATTTAAAGAGATATATTACTGCTATGATGATATCATTCTTGCTCATAAATCACTTGACCCAGAAAAAATAAAACTAACATTCTTTGCTCATAAAGTTCCTCAAAAACGATTCTTTGGAGGAACAAAGTTTCAATAATCTCAATAATGGTATTGTAATTTCATACAGAATTATTTTGGTATATAAAATTTGGTAGACTGAAATTCTCCAGTGTAAAGTCTAAACTCTCATACTAATTCAAAAAATCACTAGCATAAAGTAAGCAGCTAATCAAATTATCTGCTAAGTTGTTAATACATTTAAGCAAATTGAAATAATTAACTACACGAAGACATAAATGCATATACACAAACAACCAAACATCATTTTAAAGAATATACACTTCTAATCTATTTTCATTCTACTAGTAAACAAAATCCATATATCTATATCCATTATATAGAGCATGTCACTATCTCTTAGTAGGCCCCATCTTCCAATATTATATTGTAAAATTTTATTCAAAAAAAAAAAAAAAAAAAAAGACAAATACGAAAATTCACAAGGAATCTCTCACTCTTCTAACCCCCTTTCTAGGCCCTCCCTATACTCCGTCAGAATAATTTTGGGTTTTTTTTTTTTTTTTTGATAAGGCATAGGGTTTTGAGAAGAATATTGAACCAAACCCTAAGATCTAACTAAAGTTGCGCAAAGAGGGGGACGAATAGTTTTTAATTCAAATTCTAAGAACTCTAACTAACTTTAAAACTTAACAAAATTAATAGTAACTTATATACCGAATCAGCTAGCAAGCATATAATTTAAACCATCCATAATACATATAACGATGAAAGCAATAAAAATAAATCAAACACATTAAACGCCAAATTTTACATGAAATACTCAAATGGAAAAAAAATAAAGCCACGGGACCACCAATGGGCATTAACCAGATGGTATGATCTCTCCTCCTCAAAGGGGAGGTTGACTGTTCGAGCCCTATTAGGGGCAATATTGTGGGTGTGTGCTCGCTTTCTTTAACTTTTGGGGAGAAAAAAAAAAAACAAGGGACTTACAAAGGCAAATTAAAATCCACTATGTAAGAAAGAGGTTACCCCTTCGTCCCTCCCAATCAAGACTAACGCAAGAATTTCCTAGATCCTTCCGGCTGCTTATCCGGTGGCAAATCCACTCCTCATGCAACCTGCTTTTTCATGGATTTTCAATCTACTTTCAAGTAAGGTCTACCTTCTGGATGTTTCAACAACCAATTGACACAACTCACCATATAAATGTATGATGAATGCAAAAAATAAAAAGTCTAGTAATCAATGATCACTAGAATGCAAAAGGGCTGATATAGTATGACTGGATGCTCTACTATGTTCTTCTTATGTTTTCAGAACTTTGGGTGTCTTTATATAGAGCTTAGAGTCGGAAAACATTAGAATTTTGAGTATTTTAATTCAAAAAGGAATCTAACTTTTGAACTACTCAACCAATTGAGCCAAGTGTCGATTGATTGACACTGGGCCAGTAGGCTTCGATGACGTGTCGATCTATTGAAGTTTCCAGTCCTTTTAAAAATAGGATTTCGATTTTGATAAGTTTCCAAAAACACTTTTTAATGCATATATAAAAAATAAAAATAAAAGGATTTAGATGAATCAAATATGAAAAAAATAAAATAAAACCCTAATTGATGAATGCATGAACCCTAACTGGTGAGTGTTCCACTGCAAGCTACAATTACCTTGGGTATATGCAAACCTCCATATCTTCCCATGTACAAGGTGCCACAACTAACAAAACACTCCTAACAAATTACAGGCTCCAAGTTTTGATAAAAAATAAAAAATAAAAAAAAAAAAAAAATTACCAACCTAAGTCCTATAACCTCACAAGTTTAAAAAAGTTATTTGAAAAACTTTTAGCCTTCCTAGTGCACACCCTCTAACTCTATCCACCACCTCTCTACCCAACCATCTGTCTGGTTGACTCAACCTCTAGCTGCCATCACAATAGCCACCTCTTGGAGATATAATAATACTTTAAGCTATCAGATTGTGCTATTTAATTAGATACGCTATGTCATCAATTTTTACTTCATCTAATGACTGCTAGTGGATAATGATTATTAAATTGCCATTGTTTTTGCTTATTTCCATTTATTAAGGCAAAACTAACACAATACTGCCTCCTCTAATCACCCTATACATGGTGATTGTCATTGGTCACATGAGGTCGGCTTCTTGTGTGAACAATAAAATTAATGAACATGAGGACGGCTTAAGATCTCATATGAGATCCTTCCCTCTTAAAGATCATGTCTACTACGACTTTTGCAGGGTCTTTTATTTTTAGTTTTAAGAAATTGAAGAAAATATGAATTGAGAAATAGGAGCTGCAAAAGATAGTAGCATTGGTATACGTAACAAAAAGATATTGATATAGATATACAAACATGTATGGAAGGTTTGGATATGAGAGGATTTTCAGTGTTTACCAGCATCAAAACTATTTTCTTTTCCAATCGGGTGTATATTAAGCTTCAATGTAATATCATGATTTTTTGATAAATTTAGTTATTAGAGAGAGAGAGAGAGAGAAGAGAGAGGGATATTGCATTGGTTCTTTTCTACATCTTCTCAACTAAGAAGTACATACACTTCTACAAAGGTGTCAGGGTTGTGTCGGACACATGTTGGACATTGAAAGGCCCGAAACATCGCAGACATTCCCAGAAACGTGTCTGACAATTCATGCACATGTCTATAATTTTAAAATAAATTTTATTATTTCAAACATTCGTCTAACACAAAAACATGCAATGCAATAGTATTTACCAACATGAACACACCATAAATTGTCCAAACTTTTTTGTCTAAGAAACATTGATCTTTTACACAGCCAACACAAGCCGAGCATGCAAATAAAAATCTTTATATATGACAAACACATAAATGTAATTAAAAAAGTAAGAGAGTAGCATCATAAATAACATAATTTCTTTTTTTTCAGTAATTTTTTCTTTTTTGGTAAGTCAGATAAATAAATAACCTAATAACTCTTTACAGTATTCACATAACTTCATCTTATAAATTATGCCATCTTTAGTGTCGAAATCAAACAATAATTAGATGTATGGCCGTATCCAAAAATATATACATATTTATATATAACCGTGTCCTTAGATGTATGGCCGTATCCAATTTGAGCTGCTATTTCTCGGAAACAAACAGATCAAATCATCAATATATGATTGTAACATATGAAGCAGACGACAAGTAACTATCAGCGTCACTGCATACTAAAAACTGATACAAAATCAAGGTGGGTATTAGGGTTTCGGAATCAAAATTTAGGGTTTTAGTGTCTACCTCTGATAGGAGCCATCCAAGACCTGCCTTCGATGCGCTTAATGCCATAAACGAGCAGAGAAGCCCATGGTTGGTGCATGGTAATGCACGGATTCCTATATGTCCCATTGTTCGCACCTTTCACCTCTCTGTGTATGTGTGTCATTGCGTGTGAAAACTGGTGTGTGAATGATTCTCTGAAGCAATCTGGAAATTCGAGTTTGATAAAATAAGAGTAAGATTTGGAAAATATAACACTCACAATTGCGCAAGTCCGAATCCCATTTGGGAAAGCTATTAATTCCAAGGGCGCAAATCCTCTGCAGTAACTTATTGTGCGGTCCCATGCGTTGCAGCCTTAAAGACGCGTTTGACTTGAAATCAAAACAAATTAAGTCAAACAGGGTCAACGCTCTTACATGTATTTAATACTATTTACGTGAAGCAGAGTGAATCAAAAAAGCTTGAGTAAGACTCCTAACTCTTTTTTGATGTTCATGTTTCTTTCTCTTTGGTTGGTACCACATTTTGATGGTTCGAATAAAAATTAATAAAATTAAAAGCTTATTAAAATAATAAAATAAGCTTTCAAGGTAAGTGGTACAGTGCTAGCAATACAGGCTATCAAAGCCTTGTTGGATTGTGCTGATGTGGCTAGCAACAGTATATTATTATTTTTCAGGCACGGTATGGGTTAATTAATATCTATTATTTTATTATTTTTTGTTTTACTTTTTTAATACATTTAATATTTTGAGTAAAAGAAATTAAAAATACATTTATTTTTTTGTTTGCTTGTATTTTTTAAAACGGCTACTTTTTCAATCAATTGAATTTTTTTTTTTATTATATATTGTTATCTTTTAGTCACGGTATGGGTTAATTGATATCTATTATTTTATTATTTTTGTTTGTATTTTTTAAAACGGCTACATTTTCAACCACTTGAAATTTTTTTCATTATATATTTGAATAGAATACTTCTTTTAATATATTTAAATTAATATATTTTCTCATAATTAAATAAATCAAAAATACATTACATATTTTCTCACAATTACATAAATAAAATAAATAAAAAGACATTACATATTTTCTCACAATTACATAAATAAAATAAAAAAGACATTACATATTTTCTCACAAATAAAATAAAATTACATATAAAAGGAAATAGTAACGAAAAAAAAACCCATTTCTAACAGTATGATTTTTAAAAAAAAAAAAAAAAAAATCATATATATTTGTTGACAAATTTTTTTTAAAAAAAAATTCAAAAGACTAAGAAATAGAAATCATAAATATTTATTTCAAAATAAATAAAAAATAAAAAAAATAAAACAAAGGGAGAAGAGCCGTTGCACCAGTGGTGGGCCTTGTTTGGCTCGCAATAGCTTTGTTACTTGTTACGAGATCCTTTGCTATTTTTCCTCTGGGTCCCACAAATTGCTTGCCTTATACCAAAGCAAACACTAGCAATACTGACTCCCTAACTAGCAATAAAGGCTTTACACCGGTTGCTCTCAGAGAGGGCGGTAAATAAAAAAATAAAAAAAATCCTAGTTTCAGTATCTCTTTGGCTTCCAGGTTGGGCTCGAAGACCTCATTTAAATTCTTTGCTACTATTTTAGTTTGATCACATGTGAGTACATGGAAGAAGCCACAAAAGGCAACTAAAAAGGTGGAGAGAATTAATAGTTTAGCTTAATTTGATCTCCAAAATACAAGAATAAGAAAATTTAAATATAAAAATACTCTCTTTTTAATATATATAAATTATCTGCGTGTGTATATATATATATATATATTCAATTTTGGGTAAGTAGGAATATTCAAACTCTGAGTTCAGCCTGTTACAGTCGCATTCCCATTTTCTGCAGTTGTGACTGGCAGCCTCTCTCTCACTAGTTCAACTTTTGAGATTTCGCTATTTATTTGATTTTGACGCTATCATCATGAGATTTTCCTTTCGTTATCATGCATTTAAATTGGTTCTCTCTCTCACTCATATGGGTATTTGGTTTTATAAAAATACCCATAAATATATATATATATATATATATATATATATATATATACACACACACACACATATATACATACGGGTAGCTGAACCATTTAATTCAATTTATTTGAATTAAAAATTATAAAAATAGTATTTAAAACATTTAATGAAAATATTCATGAGTTTAAAGTTTTTTGAAACTGTTGGGCTATTCAATTTGTTTGAATTAAATTATTATGTGTTTTTATTTAATGTGACTTTTTTTGTGAAAAAAAAAATTCAAAAATGTTAAGAAATTAGCTACACTCTATAAATATAATTTTAAGATTTTTTATTTTTAAAAAATTAAAAAATATTAAGAAATTAAATTAGACAGAGTCACCTTACACTTTTATACGTAGTATATATATTTATTGATAATTTCATTGAGAAGGTAATAACTATTATTTATAGATATAATGGAAAACGGTAAGTCACTTTAGAATTATTGGGTAGCTGAACCATTTATTTCAATTCATTTGAATTAAAAATCATAAAATAGTATTTAAAACATTTAATGAAAATATTCGCGAGTTTAAAGCTTTTTGAAACTGTTGGGCTATTCAATTTATTTGAATAAATAAAACACACTTTCTTAAATTTTTTTAATTTTTTAAAAATAAAAAATCTTAAAATTATATTAATAAAGTGTAGCTAATTTCTTAACATTTTTGAATTTTTTTTTCACAAAAAAAATCACATTAAATAAAAACACATAATAATTTAATTCAAATAAATTAAATAGCCCAACAGTTTTAAAAAGCTTTAAACTCACATCGACAAAACAGTTAAACATTTTAAAAAGTTAATCAGATGAACAAGGTTAATCATCTTTCAAAAACACTCAAGTAACATACAATGTCTTACAAAAAGTAACTTTAACTCTTATCATATGAATTACCTACCAAAATTGAAGAGCAATTATAATGATTTTACTACAAAAAAATATACCAATTAAAATAATATTTTAAATTCATCAATTGAAAAATGACAAATCTCCTTATATGTTTTACCTTAGAAAATAAAGTGTGATCGATTATATCCAATAAGGGTAACAAGTTAGAAGAAATAAAGCAATTGGTATGACAATCGTACATTCAAACTCTTAATCAATCGATGAATGAAATATAGAGAAATACATAAAATGTTCGGCGAAAAGCATGAAATGAATTGAAAAAAAAAAGTCATAGCAAAAGAAGTGGTAGTGGGAACATTTGTCCTATATATACAAATCGAATCGGGCAGATCTTTACCCAGAGTAGATCATAAACCTTGATTTATTCCACTATTATCAACCTTCTAGTATTTTGAATGAAATCATTGTAAGAACCATTGAAAAGTCGTTAATTAAATGTTTTTGGAAGAAGTTACACCACGCACAAAAATACAAGATTAGGAGCAAATACAAAAAAAAATCTTACCTCAATGGTTCATCACTCATCCCTTTTAAACGTTTGTTGCATCCCAGTAAAGCACACAATTCACCATTACAAAGCTTCACGCATTTGAAATGCTTATGAGAAAATGTAGGGAATTATTGGTCTTAGAATTAGTTGTAAATGAATTCTTAATAGGTCTGAAAAAAATATATCAAAGGTTTAAAACAATCTAACACGGTTATTTGAAATGCCCGAAGCTCTAAAGTAAAAGTTTGTATTACAATTTTTAATATATAAAATTTTCAATTTAACCAACCAAACCAATCAATTTTTCAATTTTTTATTTAGGCTTCCATATATATGTAGAATTACTATATAGTCAAACCAGAAATCAATTCAAGCTTATTTCTCCTTTAATTTTTCCAAAAAAAAAAAAGAAGCACAAAACAAAGGAAAAGATTTAAAATAACTTACAATAAAACAAATTAAACATGGTTCTATAGTAACACTCATGGAACAAAGAGAAACATAATAATAAAGAATAAGGCACACAAATAATGTTAATTAAAATGATGTCAATTAAAACCAACATACCGCTATTAATTAATCCAAATAAAAACAAAAAAAAAAAAAGAGAAAGTGGGTATGTCAAACAACTATTACTAATTTATTAGTCAAGTTTCATTTCATATTTTAAAATTGAATTTGCAAAATGAGAATTAAAGAGTTGAGCCAAGTAATCACCTTTCACCTTATCCACTTTGATTGAAGCACCTTCCATAAAAAAATAAAAATTAAAAATTAAAAAAACTACAACAATTTTATGAGGGAGATGATAATAGTGTATCACATCGAAAATGACTGAGTAAAAACACAAATTTTACAGAAATTAACAATAAGAAGCTATACAAATAAAAGATGTTGAAATCTGTGGATGCATTTGCACGCTTGCATGCATGTTATATACATATATAATAGAAAATGGTAAGTCACTTTAGAATTCTCGAGTAGCTGAACTATTTAATTCAATTTATTTGAATTAAAAACCATAAAAATAGTATTTAAAACATTTAATGAAAATATTTGTAAGTTTAAAACTTTTGAAACTGATGGGCTACTCAATTTATTTGAATTATATTATTATGTGTTTTAATTAATGAGACTTTTTATTTGAGAAAAATAACATACGGAATATCAAATACCTTATTTATTATTTAGAAAAACCTAACTATATAGAAATAGAAATAATAATAATAATAATAATAATAATAATAATAAGAACCTTGGCACTTTTATATGTATATGTATATGTGTAGATAATTTATTTAGAAGGTAATTCTTGATGTGATGGAGAAATTGTTGTCAGGATATGAATTGATATATTAAACTAACTACTTTTTTTAAATATAATTGGAATTGGGATGGGCAATCAACAATTAATTACTTAGATTGGAGTATCAATTATGTAATGTGTCATAAAAACTGAAATATTGCACATATTAGGAAGGTCATTTTGGCCTGATCTCTTCAAATTTCACATTGTGAAAAAAGAAAAAATATATAACATTTCAGATACATTCTTCAAATTTCATATATTTTATTATAAAAAAAGGCGAAAAATGTATAGAAACAATAAAAAAAGTATTGTACTTTTATACGTAGTATATATTTATAGATAATATAATTTTAAGATTTTTTATTTTTAAAAAGTTAAAAAATATTAAAAAGTTATACAGAGGCATCCTGCACTTTTATACATAGTATATATTTGTAGATAATTTAATTTAGAAGGTAATAACTGTTATATATAGATATAACAAAAAATGGTAAATCAATTTAGAATTATCGGGCAGCAGAACCATTTAATTCCATTCCTTTGAAGTAAAAACCATAAAAATAGTAT